AATTAATTACTTTAAAATATGGAATAAAAGTGAATATTCTTTCCTTAAAATTAGGTCACTTATTTTATCAAACTTAATTTCAAGTAAACAACTATTCTACTTGCTTCTTTACTTTACTTTTTACTAATATTAATCTCAATTAAAATCTACATTTTTAATTATTATCGAACGCTTTCAATGCTAAAGTCCAAAAACCTGCTACGTTTTCCATTAGCAGTATGAACATTCTCAAATTGTAATTCAAGATAGTACTGAAGTGACTTTCTGCTAATCTCGTTTACCTCTCAACCTTCTTTTTACTATTTTCATGAGCCAATAATTCGAAGAGATTGTTCATGATAAAATTATATAATCTTCACCAGAATCATTTAGATAGAGAGATTATAAGAAAATTATTTTGACCTTGAAAAATTCGTAGAACATAATGATTTATCAGATATAAATGAAATTTTTTTTTATAATTAAAAGTTTTAAATAATCTATGCAAGTAGAAAGTGAAACAACAGTTGACATGATCCATTATATTAGAATTTTTTTTTTCTAAATACATATATTTCTTGTAGAGTAGCATTGAAAATCTTGTGTAGTAACTATCGCTTAAGAAAACTTCACCTAAGACATAATGTCTCAAGAAAGGTTAAATAGATTAAAATTTTTATTAGTTGAAAAGGAAACATTATTGTGTCTCAAAATGCTTAAAAGATAAAATGCAAATAGAACTATAATAATATTAATAAATTACTTTTGGAAAAGTCTCATTTTAAATTTTACTTTAGACTTTTCTTTTATGATTTTTCTAAACTTTAGGCTTGATATATGTTGCACCACCCTAATTACAAACAGTAGTGCAATATGTGATTTTGGGTTTGAACTTGTGCATCAAGACTAGAAGAGGCCAAATCAGTACCTAACTTTCTTTTTTCTTTGGTCAACAGTACCCAACTTGATCAACGATGCTTGTGTGCATATTTATGCTATTTGGGGAAACAAAAAATACAATCCATCATAAATGATTCACTTGTATGAAGTAGAAGGGTGTATAAATAATTTTTTATTTTTTATTTAGTATTTATTAAAAAATGTGTTCCTAATACTTCTTGTAATATTTAATAACTTATTTAGATTAACAACTGTTCTTATAAACTAACACATAAAATTAACGACTGTTCTTACAAACTAACAAAAGACTTTTTAGTATGATTTGTTCTTACTCACACATTTTTTAAGAACTTTCTAAAAGGTCATCTATCTCATAATTATTTCAAATTAAGCACACTTAACCTTAGCGTTCTTAAGTGATAGACTATCAAAAAACAAATATATTTTGTTGGTATAGGTAATAATAATAAATTCCTATTAAGTTATCCTCAACTATATAATCTTATACTTACACAGTCTTATGATTTTTCTTATTTTGATGTATATTCAATTCATTCATGTGTCTTCATTTTCCTGTCTCATTGCACTTAGTGATTACGCTCCGCCTTCATCAATGCTCAGGATACAACATATCCAATTAAAAACTGTCCTCCCTCTTTAATATCTAGGATGTCACAGCTTAGGATACAATATATTCAATTAAAAACCGTCCTCCCTCGTTGATACCTGATATGTCATACTTCTCTTTTCCTCAAGATGCTGAGAATGAATTCACCTCCCACTTGTTCCTTTAAAAGTGATGCACGTTTGTTATTTCTCTCAAAATTTACTTGCAGCAAAATTCTACGATCCACTTAGTTAGCGTTGACTAAGCTCCTTTCAACCAAACTTTTGGGTTGCTTATTCGCTTCACTTTTCACTTTACTTCACATCCTTAGTGCTTTAATTTTTGTTGACCGTTTTCTCTAATTTTTAATTTAAGCAATACAATAGAATCTATTTAGTAGTTTGTCCTGAGAAATATCTGGTTGAACGCTGGAAAACACAATGAATATGGGTGAGAGTGCGCTGTGACAAAAAATATCAATTTGACTTTCCTAAAGCAAGGAGAAAAAATATGGAGTCAAATTATAACGTTATTAAAATTTTCTCATTTCAAAATTCTCAATTTTCATTTAAGTTGTTTTAACATATTTATAATCCTGCTCTTCATTTTTTGTCCCTCTTGTATTTATTTGTTTGCGTGCAACTTACCCCATATGCTAACGCATTTGCCTGAAATGCTTCTTAAGATTTTGAGCAAGCTTCAATCCTAAGCTGCATGTGCATAGTAATTTTGGGGCTTGACTTCTTCATATGGTGGAGACCAAGATCTACAAGAAATTAGCATTGATGTTATTGGTTAGTGATCCTAGTCCTACTTGGTGGGCATATAATTAATTTCCTCTTTGTAATTCCCTATCCCAAAACTTTGAGAACAACCACACCATGATACTTGCCTTGGTAACCTTAAGAAGTTCCATTATGAAGAACTTCAGCTTTCTACAAATAAGTTCAGCAGCTCAAACTTGACTGGCAAAGATGATTTTGCAAATGTCTGCAAATGGTATTTCCCTAATGGCAAAGTTATAGCAGTAAAAGGGCTTAAAGCTGACAATGCCATTGGAGATGAGTTACCATTCCAAAATGAGGTTGAGATGATTGACTTAGCTGTCCACTGAATCTTATTACAAAGCATCTATTTTTCAGATTAAGTATTTAGGGTTTGGAATCACATTGCACACATTCAGAATGTGCACTGAATTGAACACTATGAGTTGAAAGCATCAACGCAGAAATTAATTGTAAATTCAAACGCACTTGTAGTTTATAACATACGAACATAAAAATGTATTCTTCCTTATTTTTAAATGGATTAATATTTTAACATATTTCAATTCCAACCAAAGGTATCATTACTTTCTCATTTTACACTTTTTTTTTACTTCAAAACACTTAAAATCTCAATCAGGCCCAGCACTGAGAGTAATTCAGAAGTGCCATTGCCTAGAACTCAAGTTTAAAAGAGGGTCCAAAGTAAAAATCGTATTCTATTTTCACTTGAAAAAAATTTAAGCTTTTGCAGTTTGTAGTTGAAAAAAAATAAACAAAAAAGACCTTTTAATTCCTCGCACTTCACTTGCTATAAACGTAGTTGACTCTTTAACTTCTATAAACTCAAAACTTCATTTAATTCCAAAATTTTACTCTTCTTAGCATTAAAGCTCATGGAGAATTTTAGTTTTCTCCAAAAAAATTAAAGTTATTGAGTTTTTCAAATCTGCAAATTGTTATCTAAATGTTTTAATTACTTATAAAATTTTTTTTTACGGTCCCAATGACTACATCATCAACTGAAAGAAGTTTTTTAGAATTAAAGTTACTTAAAACCTACCTAAGGACATCAATGTAACAAGAACAATTGAATGGTCTAGCAATTTTATCAATTGATAAAGAATTTTTAGAAAATATTGATGTTAATGTTATCATTAATGATTTTGCATCTCAGAATGCTTATAGAATCCATTTTTTATGATTTTTTGTATTTTTGTAATTAATTATAACATGGAAGTTGTTTGAATGAAAGAATATTTTCTTTTATAATTTTATTAAAAAAAATTATAGCCACTTAAAAAAAGTATTATTTTAATAAAATTATTAATATCTACTTTTATTTGTTTATTATATTTTATAATTTTTTTTAAATGACTCTAATTTTCTATTTTGCTTGAGTCCCAAAAAGGTCAAAAACGGCTTGATCTCAATTTTTCTTTGTCTTTTTTTTGTACTTATCATCTATACTATATTGTTTATTGACTCTACAAGACTGGTGGTTCTTTGTGCAGACACTTCAAGTTATTTTTGATATGGTGATTCATTAATTTTTTAAAGATTTACACATTTATAAGATGCGTATTTATTTATTTATTTTCAAAAAGATCCTAGCTTAAATTTATGCATAATACTTTTTGAGATAGCCAAGCCTATTTTGGACTCGAGGTGCAAGGAAGAGAATAGTTTTAGGACTTGCACAAGATGCTTGCTATATTTGCATGTGTAGTAGTGACCCCAAGATTATTCATAGAGATGTGAAGGCTGCAAATATCTTGCTTGATGATAATTGTGATAAGATAGTTGGAGATTTTGAGTTGGTAAAGCTGCTGGATCACAAGGTTTTCACATGTGACAATAGCACTGAGGAAAATTTTAGGGCACATAGCCCCACAATATCTTTTAACAGGCCAATCTTCTTAGAAAACAAAAGTTTTTGAGTTTGAAATCTTTTTACTCAAATTAATATCCTAGCCTAAGAGCTGTTAATTTAGGGAAAGAAGAAAACCAAGGAGAACTCACGCTGCCGTGGGTGAGCTAAACAGAATTGCTTTATTTATCCTCATTCATGTTTATTGTATATTTCTTTGCTTCATTAAAATGTATTCACAATAAGTTGACTACAAACGCATGTGAAAAAAGTGCATCGAGAGAAGAAATTTGACTAGTTTGTTGACAAGAAAAACAATTATGACAGTATTGATCTTGCTGAAATATTTCATCTATTTTATGTACTAAACACCTTCCAAGCCACACAGACCCAACATGTCAGAAGTAGTTCAGATGCTTGAAGGAAATAAGATTGCTAAGAAAAGGGAAGCCTCACAGAACTGAATCAACGAGTAGCCGAGGAAAAGAACTCTTCTTAAAATAAGACACCCATGATGTCAAATAAGCAGGAATTTTTGCCAGCCAAGGGCACCCATACTAGAGGAAATAGCTGATGGGGAAAAAGAGAAAATAAAAAGGCAAGAGCTGTTGTAAATTAGAAACTCGTAGCACACTGAAATGTTCAGTGTGACCTATCTTATATTAAGCCAAACAAAGTCTTAATGCATAAACCTTTACATGGTTTAAGAGGCCAGAATGTTTCAATGTGGAATAAAATCCTAAAACAAAGTTGCCAGGGGAAAATAACCGGTAGCCATACTGCCTCCCAAACCATTTTTTTCAGACTAGTTTCAATCTTGCATAATCTTCATACAACCACACTAAATGGCAGATAAATGTTTATTAGAATTACTCCCAGTCATACCCACAACCACAAGATGATATTCAAGTCTCTCGTGGAAGTTACTACAAAGACTGCAAGCAAGTAGTCGAGAAGAATTGAGTTTGTTGTAAATATGCCATGATTCAAGATAGCATATCAAGTTCAGACGGGCAACTACCATAAGGAAAAGCTTCCCTGCCAACAGGGGTTAAAAAAATTATATTAGATGATATTCTAACTGACATTCCTATATAGAAATTGAATATCATTAATCAGCTCAAGAGGTGTGCTAAGAACACACTTCTAATTATTAGTTAAAAATTAATGTACACTATAAAAGTATGAGAAAGAATTATTAACTTAGGAGTAAAAATCATTAAATCAAGTATGAGTGTTAACTCACATAATTTTTATGATTTTGTAATAAATTTTAACCAATAACCAGGAGCATATGAAAAATAGTATGTCGCTAGCATTTCAGCAGCTCTATTGTTTTGACTTTCTAGGTGCATACTTGGGTTTTCTGTCAGTAAAATGGACTCGAACTTGCATCTTACACTTATGTGCTCAGTCCATCTATATAAAATTTACAAGTTGTCCGATAAGTAATACTTGTATTTTAAAGCTTATGCAAAGCTATATCCTAATTGTTGTAACCAAGGAGAAGTAACATTGGAATTGATAGAAAAGTATAAAATTATGCATTTCAGAACATAGTCCACAATTTACTCATGTGCGAAAACAACTTCTGCTCTAGTAGAAGCTCTTCGACATTTCACCAATTCGAGCAATATTTTCAAATTATTTTCCATATCAAATACACAAGGAATAATATTCATTGTCTCAAGCACAGGTGAACGGACAAGCAAAAATTTCATAAATTCTATCTCATGTGGCCAACCACCCATTTCTGACAACTTCACAATTTTAAGCCTGCAAAGTGTAGAATCTGAACGGCACTCTTTTTTCCAAAAATCCACGTCCGGGGTATCTATGGCAACTGGTATGTTTGATGAACCCTGCCAGAGTCAATTGCATAAAATGTGTAGCAATAAATTTTAAATATGTGATTACAAGCCTGATTGGAAAAAAAGAATAACAAAAGCATTCATCATCATTTGGTAAAATCTAGGGGGGAGGGGTAATCTCTAATTTTTGCAATGAACAAGGACTAACGACTTACTGAAATTTGAAGTTCCTTCAGACTGGGAGAGCTTGTAATCAAGCGAAGGATGACAAGTATCTCTTTCGTATCCTCGAAATTTACTTGATATAATTCAACAGTCTCCAAATTGTTGTACATTATTGGAAGATACACCGAGTCAATACCTATGCTCAAATACTTCAAGAAAGTGCAGAGATGAATAAAAGAAAGAGCTTGGCCATACATGATAAAAAAACACCCTCTTCGTTTGAGAATGAACTAACATTATAAACAGATATCACAATGTTACCTTTGTCAAGTAGATACGCCCAACGAGCCGCTCAAGATTAGGCACACCACCAAGAAACTTGACAAAATTGCAATTTGAGCTTTGTTCAAAGTGCTCAGCAATGTCATCAGTCATATACATTGTAATTGATATCTCAATCAAAAGTGGAGTATCTTCAAGACATATATCCTTGAATTCACCCTCAAGATACAAGTGCTTGAGGTTGGGGGCACAGATAGTAAGCGCCAAGTTATCAAAGTATGACAGTGATAAACTCTCCAATAGAGGGCAACTCGAAATGAGGCTCTCAACTGCGTCAGGGGATATCAAAACCTGATGAAGGTTGAGGCTCTTGAGGCACATAAATCCTTTAAAATTATGCGGCGGATCCAAGTCGCACCGCGAAAGCTCCAATCGAATCAACTTCCCACAGTTGAAAAGGCTTGAGGGTATTCTAAAAAACTCGCATTCTCCCAATTCCATAACCATCTCTTTGATCCCATTCCTCGAAAGGAAAAGAATCCACTGATCAATTTCAGGGCAACTCTGAAGCTTGGAATTCGTTATTTGGAACCTATGAATTGGCCCTTGGTGAAGAAACAACACCCTAGTAATGAACTTGACAATACTCTTCTCAACAACATCTCTATCATTACTAAAGGGCACACATTTATCATCAAACACAAGTTGAGTAATTGAAGCCCATTTGTACCTCCATTTACTTGACAAAATGCTAGTTCTCACAGCATCCCTTATTGGAAGCTGAATCAAAATGCTCTCTATTATGCTTTGAGGAAGGTCACTGATCAAATCAGGATCCTTATCATCATCACTCATTTTTATGCCTCACCTAATCAACACCAACAAACAAAACAATTAACCAAGTAGCAAATAATTGTACCCCACAAATCAAATAATCCATTAAATCATAAGCAAATTTATATGTCACTCACTAACCCTTGTTTGAAATTGTTGCTAGGATCTGATACGGCACCGTTTTGAAGGAGCAGATCTCGGGTTGAAGATGGACAGAGACATAGAATTGGATTGCGATGAGAAGAGGCACTAATCAGTAAATCAAAGTTGGGTGTAACAATTTGGAATATATAGTGTCTCTCTCTTGTTCTCGGTTCGGTGGGTAGAGAGTGTGTGTGTGAAAAGTTGGGTACAGGGACAAACACTCTCACCGTAAAAGGTAATCCCCCTGTCATTTATTTTATTATAAATTGAAAAGAAAAATATATTTAAAAATATAAAGTATGAATTTAAATTTAAATTAAAAATTAAAAATTGAAAACTAAAATAAAATTTACCCCTAAAATATTCTCGTTAAAAAATTAAGACTCAAATTATATATAAATATTCACTAATTTGCTGAATTTCTTTGGTAAGAACTTATAATACAAGAACATGTGTAAATTCTAAAACTACCTACAATAATCTATTATTGTAAAGATTTAAAATTATAGTGATGATTGTGGTTGCAAGCAATTACCATAATTGCAAACAACTTTAAAATGCAGTATGATTGTGTATAACAATTGAAAAATATTACAAAATACTTTAAATTAAGAATTTTGTTAATTTAAGTTCTTAATATTAAGTTTAAGTATTTATAAATAAAAAAATTTATAAAAAATATACAGTTATTATATTAAAATTATAAAAATATAATAAATATTTTTAATAAAATTTTATTATTATTAACCATTTATCTTTAGCCCATAAAATTTTTAAATTAAAATTATATTCATAGTATATTTTTTCGTGTGAAGGCTAAAACAATTATTTTATTCGCTTATAGGCCATTTTCATATTAATTTTTAAATTAAATTCAAAACTTAAAATGTCTTTAAATTGTTGTTAATTGCATAGTAAGCAAGATTTTCGTAATTGCGGTTGCACGCAATTATCAAATTGTGAAAATTATTGAGAAAACCTAGAAAATGACAATATTGCTGTGTATTGCAATTTGAGACTACGACAATATGCTTTAAAATAAAGCTATGATCATATTACGCTTGGAAATCAAAAGAAGGGTTGCAAAACTCATGAAAATTGCATTAAAATAAAATTTTCAATTAACAATCCTTCCATTTTTTTGGTATCCTTTCAAGAGCTAAACTGATGTCTGCAAATAATTCAATCTTCTATGCTCTATAAAAAATTCGTATATTTTTATATAAGGAGAAATCATAAGTTATAATATAAATTAATATAATTGATAAATATTTTGTTCAATGGTGAGGTATATTTATAAAAATATAAAAAACAGTATATGAAATTAATATAATTGATAAATAATCTTTTTGCTGATAATAAGTATAAATATATAGATACTTAAAATTTTTAAATCTAAAACATTATTTTAATTAGTGTAAATTTATTTTTTGATGATTTACAAATATTTAATGTTCGTTAAAATTTTAATATTATTTAATAAAATTATGGAAAGTAAAAGTTTTATGAATTATGCCAATTTCCTTTTTTTATATATAAAATAGTAAAAGAAAATGCTAACTATGGCCCTTAAAGTATTGATTACAAATTTTTAAAAGTAACAAACTTTTGTCAAAATATTATTATAAACACACTCTTTTTTTATGATTTTGAATACATCTTAACGTATTTTTTAATAAAAAATTTATTTTAAAATTCTTAATCGGTGTTCTAAAACTATTAGTTGCCAATACTCAATAATAATTAATTATAGTTTGTTATAAAACAAATAATCTTAATTTTTTTCACCCATTTTCCTACTAAATTGTTAACCCTTCTTCTTCCTAGTTGTTGACATAGAATCAGGCTAATTTATACGTAAAAGTGTAATTTCAATGATTAAAGCAATCAAAAGTATCCATTGTTAATATAGAGTAAATTTTATATTAACTTTTTAAAAATAAATAAAATGAGGGTATATTAATCTTATTTAAAATATAATACTTTAGAAAATTATTAATTATTAAAAAAAATTCACGCACACTTTAATATATAAATTTCAACAAATTTATTTAATAATTAAAAATCTAATGCAACCTTCTCCTTTGCTCAAGTTTGAGAATAATTGTGAAATTATAGATAAAGTTCAATAAATTCTGTTTAACATATAAATTCTATTAAATATTTATATATTTTTTATTTTACTGTATAATTGTCAAAGAAGATTTAGATTAAAATCCTCTCATTTATAGAATCTTAATTTTCTTTTTTTTTTTAATTTATTTTTGTATAATAATATATAAATTTAGTATATTAAAAATATTTAGTATTTTTTTATATTAAAAATAATTAAGCTTAAATATATTATTGGTCTCTATAAATGTAGATCATTTTATGATAAGTCTTATAAATATTTTTGTTAATAAGTAGTCTCTAGAAAGTTTAAAATTTAGGATTTAATTCCTGTCATTAAGTCATTCTCTGTTAAGTGCTGAGCTAACTAGCTCAGCACTCCACATGATATGTTACATTATTTATTTTTTATTTTATTTATTTAAAATTAAAATTTACAAATAAATTCCTAAAGCTATTTTATATAATTATATAAAAAAAGTCCTTTTTCCTTCCCCCTCTCCTTCCTCTTCCCCCACGCTCTCATCTGCACCACCCTCTCCCTCACTCACTCTCAATCCTCCATTCGCACTACCCCTTCCCCTTCTCTATCACCTATTTCCCCCACCCCTCCCCCACATTCTTCTTCTTCTAACACTCACACTCATTCCTCACATCTGCACCATCCTTCTCCCTTCTTCACATCTCTTTCTCTTCAACACTCATACTCCTACCATTATCACCACTGTTGTTACAATTCTAAATACTAGCAAGTGCACTAGGAATTGCAACAAGTAATGAGTAAATTTTAAGATCAAAGTATCGTCTCCACAGGGAATTAGAAAATCAATTATCACGTCACAGAATAATGACAAGTTGAGCCAAACAATTTTGGAAGAGTTGTATAATTCAGAAAGTAAGGAATAAGAATAATTAAAAGGTACGAAACTTGTAGTAAAAACAGAGTATGACAGTTATATTGAGATGGGACAAGAATAAAAGATAGTTAAAAATTTATTTCACAAGAATGTCAATATTAATTCAATTATGCCTTTGAACATTCAAGTAATTGGTTAATTGACAATCAATTTCTCTTATTAATAGTCAAAATTTAATTCCTTAAATCATTGACCCTAACAAGCAACTAAACCACCCTAATCCCTTAGGTGAAGTTTAATTTCAAGTTGCATTAAGACTTATAACCTTAGGATTACAGAATTAGGTTCCCTTATCTCTAAGAAATCCCTAATTCTGATTGCTAATTCAAATCAGAGAAGCAAACCCAACTTCCATTGGCAAATATTCCTCTTTGGTTAATCATACGAATTTCCATTCAAAGATTGCAATAACAGCAAAATTAATAACTCAATTAATCCAAGAACTCAAATTTCATAAGAAAAATTTGAATCAATACATTAATTCAAGGTCCATAAACTCCTAACTACGAAGAATTAAGCACACATTGCAACAGAGAAAAAGAAAGAAGGAGAAGAAGAGAATCTAATAGAAAAAACGAAAAATGAACAAAAGACTTTGAGTTCTAAGCTTAAACAAGTATTTATAGAATTTCCAGCCTTTGCGTGTTGTCACTTTTCTCATCAAAAGTGGTCACACAGAGGCTCATGTGATTCTGGAAGACTGGAACAATCACTCTTGTTGATAAGAGTAGCAATGCAGGAAGTCGAGTAGTGCGCATGTTCACTTTTGCCAGCAAGAGTGACCACGCGTTAGTTGCCTTGAAACACTTCTCTTTGGAGCATCTACTTTCAGTGGTAAAAGTGGTTACGCAGAGCTTGCTGAAATTTAATCTCTCTGGAACACTCACTTTCGCCAGCGAGAGTGGTCAAGCAGAGGTTTGCTGAGATTCAGTTTTTCTGGAACACTCACTTTTGCTGATAAAAGTGGTAATGCAAAGGCTGTTAAGCCTGAGGCTTTTCTGGAACACTCACTTTTATTGGTAAAAGTGACCACACCCAGACTCCACTTCTCCTTTAAGCTATGGAGTGATCACTTTCACTAACAATAGTGATCATGCCTAACTTGCATTCCATAATTCTTGTGTTTTGAGTCCAGAATTGCCTTTCTTTCTATTGATCTTCCATTTCCATGAACCTTGCTCAGATTATTCTTACAACAACAAGATTAGATTCTTAAATTCTTTAGAAAATTTTACAAATGCTAAAATAACTACATATTCAGAGAAAACCTTCAATCATTATATTTTTCTGAATTTTTCTGCTTTTCTTATATATTTTTCTTCTCAAATGGGTTAGAAATATATTAAAATATTAGTAAAAATATGGATTCATCAACCACCTTTTCCCCCACCCCTTTCCTTTCTCCTATTCGTGCCATCCCCACTTCCTTCTCCCTTCAACCCTTCAACACCCACACTCCTATCTTCCTCCAATACTCACACCCATTCCTCACATCTGCACCATCTTTCTCTCTCCAACACCCAACTCCTACCACCATCCGCACCACCCCCTCCCTCACCCCTTTCCTTTCTCCTATTCACGTCATTCCCACATCCCTACCCCTTCTCCCTCCAACACCCACACTCCTATCTCCCTCTAACACCCACACTCATTCCTTACATCTACACTATCTTTCTCCCTTTCTCACATTCCTTTCTCTTCAGCACCCACACTTTTATCACCATTCAGATCACCCCTTTCCTTTCTCTTATCCGCACCATCCCCACACTTCCACTCCTTTCCCACATCCTTCTCCCTCCAACACTTACAATTCTATCTCTTTCCAACACTCACATCCATTCCTCACATCTGCACCACCCTTCTCCCTGTCTCACATCCCTTTCTCTCTAACACCCACACTCTTACCACCATCCGCACCACTCCCTTTCTCACCCCAAATAAAATTTTACACATTGAACTTTTCTGCCAGCTCAACAGTGTCCACAACCATCTTTCTCAAATCTGTCACGTCACATTTGATGAGAATCAAAGAAGACCCATTGAAGACAAAAGCTTGAAGGCATTGAAAAAACTTCAAAGACTAATCACAAAGGCAAGGGCAAAGAGAATAAATGAAGACTTAAAAAATATTGTTGTTGTTCTATTTGAAAGAGAGTTTAATTTAGAGTTAGAAGAGTCCAAGATGGTCAATTATATATGCTTAGAGAACTTGGACTCCAGTAAGTTTCATTAGGATTTAATTATTATGTTTAGTTTGTTTATTTTAATATTAGTCATTACTTATTTTGAGTTTTTAGTTAAGATAAAATTTTGTTATTTTATTTAGTTTACTTGGATTTGGGCTTGTTGCCACAAGAAACCCTTTAAGATTGTGTTTGCATTAGTTTATGAGCGTTAGACATATATATGTTCTTATATATATATTATTAATTAGTCTTGAATACAATTTGAGATTGAATACTCTTGTGAGAGTGTGTAATTCTAGGTGCTTGAGTGAGTAAGTTTTCTTTGATCTTATTAAGAGGCCAAAATTCTTGTGGCGATCGTTCTTTGATTTATTAATCTTGCGATGGTAATGTCATTCTCCGTCTCTATCATATTTCCACATTTATTAATTTTCTTCTTGTTTCAATTCCTATTTGTAACCTAATAATTTTATTTTTATCATGTAAAATCCAATTCAAGATTGTTTAATTCGGCAATATGGATTGTGATTGTCATCACCATCATTCTCATAGCAAGTTGGCTATTTTAGAGGTTGAAACGACAATGTAGTAGAGGAAACCGAGGGAGAGATGAATGATAAGACCATAGCGAGTGGAGAGAACGTGGAAGCTTTGGTAGAATAAGTGAGAGATAAGGTGAAAATGATAAAAGAAAGAGGGAAGGGAGAGGAAAGAAGGGGTGCTGGAACGGGATTGTCAGGGAGGAGGAGGGGGAGGGGGAGGAAAAAGGGGAGGGGGAGGGGGAGGGGGAGGGAATTGGAGACACTGCAGAGAGGAAAGAAAGAAAGTTAGAAAAACTTTTATGTAGTTATGTAAAATATGTCCAATGACTTATTTGTAAATATTAATTTTAAATATAAAATAATAAATAATGTGACATGCCACATAGGCTATGATTAAGCCTCGAGATAGCCACATGGAGTGCTGACCTAGCTTCAGCACTTAACATGGGGAGAATTAATAGTAGGAATTAAATATTAAATATTCAATTTTTTAAGGACTATTTCCTAACAAAAATATTTATAGAGACTTGTTACAAAAAGACTTACATTTATAGAGATCAATAACATATTTAAGTTAAATAATTATTACTGTTAATTTTATATTAATAGATAGTAATATTATTTTTTAAAATTTAATTACAACTATTAATTTTAATATATATATATATATATATATATATATAATATCTTCTCAAAATTTACGAATAGATTAGTAATTATCAATTTTTTTTTTGGAAAATAATTAGGAATTTGCAAAATGATAATTGGACAACTAATAATTGACTTAATAGAGTAAGAACAACGAGGAAACACCGGAAATAGAGAAAGAAGGAGGCCAAAAATAGTGCAAAAATAAAACTGAAAAAGTGATCAAGATTGGGTAAAATTGGGTTTTGGATATGCATATGGAAAGTGTGGCAAGTTAAAGGGGAATATGCATAAGAAGATTCTTCAGTAAACAGCATCTTCCATTCCTGTCTCTTATTCTATTCCCTTATTTTTGTTCTTTCTTATTTCTGAAAACCCAAAATAAACCTCTTCAACTGAAATCAACCACCACCGTCTCATTCTTCGCCTTTATATATAAATTCACCTTTCTGCATTGCTATTTTCTTCTAACCACTTTCTCTCAGGTTCTCTCTCTTTCCATCTCTCTCTGCATTCGGACTAGCCATGCATTTGTGCTTTTTCTGATTACTATAAGATTGACGGAATATCGAATTTAGCTTTTAGAAAATGCATAAAAATAAATATCCAATTATTGTTTTAGATTATTTCTCGGGGTCAGTTTTCGTATTCATGATTTGTTTCTTTACGATTAGGAAGGATTAAGTGTTATGGTATATGCGAAAATAGGGATTAGATTTTATTTTATTTTATTTTTTTGTCTTTTATGCGTCGATGCACATTGCAAATGTTGATATTCGTGTGTTCCTTTTCTGTCGATAATTTGAATACAAACTCAAAGCATGAGTGAGGGAGCTTAAATTCCCGTGCAAATTTGCGCTGGATTTTGTCACCAATTGGCTAGATATGTATTTACCTGTTTGTATGTATGCATGTATGTATTTGAAAAAGTCATTACATTTTTTTAAGTTAGAAGTCAACCAAATTTTGGTGATGGCGAGTTATTCGGCATGTACATCATCTTTTACCCCTTCATTGTTAGGGAGTCAATGAAATGAAATTTAATTACGACAAATAGTTGAGGGTCAATTGGGTTAATTCATATATGATTTGTTATATAATCATTGTCATTAGCAGTTCTTCGTGCTAGTATGTTAAAAATTTGCTTGTGGTCGGATTATAAAATACACAGATACAGGTTCGAGATTTTATGAAGTAATACCAATATTGTTTGTTTTCTTTCAATACAGCATTATTGGCTAGCACTCAGCGCTCTCCAACCAACTGGTGCCAGCAACTTCTTGCTGGTACTCAAGTTGGCCTGCATCTTGTCTGGGTGAGGAGAGGACATGACTCAAAAGAGTGCGTTGAATCGGAGTAGAGCCCTTGAGGGTGTCCATGGGGTCCATGTTGCACCTCATTCACCCTTTGCTTTGACAGAAACTAATCAAAGTGGGGACTTTCATTGTTCAACTGGTGGAACATCAACTACAGAAGCCAATCAGCTGTTGTTAATGCAGTGAGTGAAATATATACCCATCAGAATTGCCATAGAATTTTAAAATGATTGTATTTTTTTATTGTAGTACAAAGAATTGAAAATTTACGAAGCCATGCATGCTAACCAACTACATACCTGTTCTCTAGACGACTATGGCAACAGAGACCAGCATGCTTGAGACCCATCCATGGTAGTACCAGTTGTCATGGTATAGTTGTGAAAGTTTATTTCCATTTGACATTACGTTATTATTTTCCTTCTAATAATATAGTCGTAAGTAAGTAATTGTTAGGTGTTTATTACTGCATCCCTTGTCAGGTGATATGCATGTTGCTGAAACAGTTGCCAATGTGCTTACGTCAATCCCTTTTATAGCTATTGGAATGCATGCCCCCAGGTAATATTTTGCTCCAACCATCATAAATTCCTTTGATCAGAAAAAAATTTTAGTTGTCTTATAAATAATTGTGTAATGTAGGAAGAGTCTCAATTCTAAGTTGTATGCTAATTCATTAATTGGAGTTGGAGTGGCCTCAAGCATTTACCATTCTTCAAGAGGGAGATTGAGAAAAGTTTTGAGATGGGTAGACTACACAATGATAGCCACAGCGACTGTTGTAAGTAACATATTCATTGATAAACATAATTAAAGGCTACTCAATTGCATGCAAAAACCTGATTATATCTGCTATCGCATTTATTAATTTTGTCTAGACCAAGTTGCTGAAACTGAGGCACTACAGTGAATGTCTTAGGGTCCTGTTAGGAGAACTATGAGAGTTCAAGTTTTATCTTCAGTTATGCAGAGATCACTAGCACATCCACTCAAGTTAGAAATGTCCTTTTCCTGTACTTTTTTTTCAGGGAACAATTTTCAAGTATATGTTTCAAATACTTTAAATGAATCTTGATTCCAATAATTGTGCTGTCAGCATTTGCATTGAATTCTTATATCTAATATTCTCGTTAGAGATAAAGGGTTATTCAGCAGACTTAGAGTTGGCTGTTTCTAAACATCACATTTTTATATTTCTTTCATATTGATAATGGTGCCAAGTCTCTGAACATGGAGAAAGGGGGTTATTTGAATTTGGGATCATTCATTGCATGAGAGGTTTGATTATTGTCATGCTATATTCTCAAATCACTAAGTTTCAATTTTTAACTAATGTCTTTTTCATTCTGCCTCGGTTTTCCTGACTCCTGTTTGCCTTAAATATAAAGTTTTCTTTTGTCTGCTGCTTACTTATTACAAAGAAATAACGAAGGCATATTACTTATATATGCAGACATGTTTTTGTGTGTGTATCACTTTGCATACGGGAATGCTAAATTATTTCATCTAACCTAGACCTTTTTTTATTTTAACAGAGTTTTCTTTTTTTTTGCTTACCGTTAAAAATTTAGCAGTTATATTTTACTGCTGAAAAAGACACGAACCCGAGTGTCAAATGTCATAATCTGTTTTGATATATTGCTTTTAGTGTTGACTGATTGGTGATTACTATTATACAGAGAGTACCCTTATGTGGTTTGAACAATTTTATGAAGAAGATCCTTGTTAATCTTTGAATAAGTTCCTTTCTTCTAACTTCTATTATAAATTGCAACTCCATCCCCTCCTAGAACTAAGGCAGGGGAAGAGAGATAGATCAACATTGTCTAAGTCTAGTGTGTGCATGTACGTGGCCCTATCTTAAATGTTTTCCCTATACCTTAAGTTTTTGCATTTTTGTTTATCTCCTAGTTTGAAGTTGCTTTGATATTGTATTTGAATATAAAATCATTCTGCAGTGTCTGTCTAGGGCCCTCAGAACTGAGAACCCAAAGTTACTGATGGCGGCATCTGCAGTAGTTCTTCCAGTTAATCCAATGATGGTTTCAGTTATTCACACTGGGATGATGGAAGTAAGTTTCTTTTCTAACTAATTATATGTGACAATTTAGTGTTCATTTCTGTAATAGATAATTGCATTGCTCCAGAAAAGTATGGTGACCACGTTAGTAACTAACATCACTGACCTTAATTAAATCTGTTGATTCATTGATTCTGAGACCATAACTTAAAATCTGAATATTCAGATTCATTTAATTGAATATGATGTTTCAAGTGTGAAACAAATTGCAACTGGTTTCACTATCTGGCTTTTGTTGTGGTTGACTTTTATTATCATTTATCACCACATCATTTGGTATTAGTGGAATTATCAGAAGATTAGTCATGCCAAAAAATGAGGGGATAAGGAAAGATTCAGTTTTAAAGGGTAAAGACTTAAAGAGCAACCCAATGTATGAAACTCCCACCAAGTGGGGTCTGGAGAGGTTATATAGTCTTACCTCCTCTAATTGCATAATTCACCTCCAGGTCACAAGGCAGCACCAACCCTAGTGTTTTGCCAAGGCTTGCCCTCATTCTATTTTAGGGGATAATTAATAATAAATTTGTCCTATAATTTTTTTCCTCCTGGATTGACAGAGACTTCATTAAACAAGAAAACTATGCTCAACCGTTGTTTAACAGAAGCTTGAATGTTTGAATGACTTGATTACATAGACAGCCTAGTTAGTCAACCATATTACTCCTAACTGTGGGGGAGTTTTTCATGATGGAAGATCTTTTTAATGTATTTCTTTATCTCATTTGTAAATTCTAACTTTATGATTATTGAACTTTTAAGCTACTGCGTTCAAGATTACAGCAATTGTGTAGTTATAGTTGGTCGAATTGATGAAAATATTGCGAAGGGATATTATCAAAGCGATCAAATATTTGGTCACACGCTCTACAAAATGGCAAAATTTATTCTTTGCTAACATAATATCCGCCAAATGTGTTGTCTTAGAGTGCATTCTCTCAAGTGTGATTTAATCTTATTCTACTCTTTTAATATTGGCATATGAAATTCATAACTTCTCTTAAAGAATAAATTCAACCTTTTTCAATTAATTTTCTTATCTTTTTCATTTTTAAAATAATTCCTTTTAATCTATACTGTTAAGAGTAAGATTCTACTTGACCTAATCATGCATACCTCTGTTATAATTTTAAACATTTATTTCCTAAAGTGTTTTTTCAGTTTATATTTTTATTTTATTTTATACAAGTTTAAAATTATTTGTGCAATACCAGATATAACTATGAAATGGATTTGATTTAACAATTTGACGATGCTACAATGAAAAGCAGACATTTTGAAATTAAGTTTTTCTCATTTTAAGGAAAAAAATGTTTATTCAGGTAGCATTTGCTAAAAGGGCATTGAAAGATCCAGACTTGAGGATGGCTCACACAGTGCATAAGATGTCCTCATTACTGGGTGGTGTGCTTTTTATAGCCGATGATTTATTTCCCCAAACGCCCTACCTTCATGCCGCATGGCATCTTGCTGCTGCTGTTGGTGTTGGAACCTGCAATAAGCTTCTTGAGTAGGAGTGCACACTCTATTCGATAGCTGGGAAGCATGCATTCTACCCAGTAAGAATAGCATCAACATAATTTGCCGACTTTACCATAAAGTAGTACATTTACTTGGATTTGCTGTACTTAGATGAGTTTAATGCAAATGCAAATTAGGTTCTCAATTATTTACCTCCTGTTGTAATTCTATAATCATTAATTAAAAATTGGCACCTTTTATTCTGGTTTGATGAACATGCAGTTATAAAAGATCTAGAATATATTTCTTACCTGAAGATGTTGAGACATTGTTTCTATGAACTCCTTGACTTTTCATTTAACCTGCAATATAATTTTCTGAAGATTGGAAATATATGATACGATGATGTGTAGGAGATGGGATTGGTAATTCCAAAAACTTAATATCTTGCTTGCATATTTATTTATAGGTTAAATTAAATATGTAATTATTGAAATAATTGTTGAAAACTCAAACAATGATGGATATACAATTTCTTTGAACACCTCTTAGAAATTAAATTTCGAAAACCATCTTTGAAATATTATTTTCAAAAACCATTGACACATTTCAAATTTTATCATCCAAAAATATAGAAAAAAAATGTTACAAATAGAAATGTAATGAATTTAAAACATAATTGTTATGTCTAGGCTTGACGTTCACGCTATTCCAATACTATTTCCATTTTGTAGGCATTAATTCTTCACTTCTCATCACGTTTAAAGCTACAAAATAATATGGACTTGTTAACTTTTTTTAATACTATTATATAAGCAAAAATAAGAAAATATTTTGTATTTTTCAAAATAGATTGGAATATATGAACTATATTATTATAAATAAACATGTAATTTTTGCATTCCTTTTTTAAATATATTGATACATTCTGATCCATTGGTAAAAATGTTGAGTCACTCATTGGATTAATTCCCAATAGCAGAAGAAGTCTTTTTGAACGGTAAACAATTTTGACGGAGAGGGAGATTCGTACATGGTGCAACATGCATGAGAGAAGATGAAAGGGGAAGGGTGCGATACTGACTTGAAGGCATGAAATGAAGGCGAAAATTCGACTTTAGTTTATGAACATTTACAGTATCAAGACTTATATAATTTTTTTTATCTCTTTTGATTATTGGCCATTTGGCTTGTTTAAAAGAGCTTCTAGTTAGTTAGTGATCTAAATATTAGTTATTTGTTTCTTATAAAAAAGATTAAAAGAAATATTTATCAAAAACTAAATCATATATAGAAATTTTTAAAGCCTGCTTCACCTCTTCTCAATCCGTACAACATAAATTGGCACAAAACAAGACCTAACTACGGAATAATAATAACAACTAAATAAACAAATAAATGAAATATTTGAAAATTTCTTTACATGTTACGAACATTCTGCATGCATTTCCTACGGCCACAAGTCCACCTGGAAATCCAAACACAATGTCTATTGAGAGCCTTTTGCAATTGCAAGTCATTACTGGCAAATTAATTACATTCACTGGTATCATTACTAAAACAATGGGGTACCAATGTAAAAGAATAACAAATGTGCTCAGATACAGACATACAACTAACAACGGGGCCCTCAATGTGAGGGCAAACAGAAAATAGAATCTATAACAGGAACAAAGAAAATACAAAGCTTTACCCAAGCTGAATTTTGTTAATGTACACGTAACAATCTGTTGCTACAGCCTCAAGATGCGAAGAACATTCTCCAGGTAATGTACAGGCATGCTGTGATGGAATAAGTTCGTTTTTCCATTGCTTGTTAAACACAGCAGCTGTTAATTTAATATACTAAGCAATGCTCAGTCAATGTCTGGGGAGAGAATCTTGCAATTGAACAATTTTGCTCTGTTCTCACTGGCATAATGTGCAAAAACGATGCCACTCCCGTGAAATCCAATCACAAGAAATAATCAACAAAATCCTGTTAAGCTCCCAAAATTGAGTTTTATGCCCTCTCACCAGATGGAAAGGGTGAAAAAATGAAATAATCGTGATACCAACAAAAGGCAGTCAGCAGCAAGACAGACTCATAAAATCATAGGAGACATTAAGTAACACCCATAAAATTCTGTCAATATATCAAGTGGCAGATGATCTTGAATCAACAGTTCTATTAGCACGACACATACAATCAGGGCATGGAAAACTATATATTGAATCATTTGGTCTTTTGAGCTCAACTCCTTTGGAATCGCTATTTGACCTCATGTTCAGTAAATGACGCTTGAGAGTTTTCCATCTGTGAAGTAATAAAAAAGCAGAGAAGTCAGATACCTTTCTACTAAAAAGATAAAATTGTATTTGTGTGATAATGAAAACAAGGAACATTTTCTATACAGAGGAATGCAATGTATTGCACACAACTGAGTACAAGCGGCTCTATTCCAATTTTATTTTTATTTTTATTTTTGTTTAAACTATAAGTATTTTCTAGTGAAGACAATCTTATTTAAGTTGAGAACATTCAATACGTAAACCTAAGAGTTAACACTTCACTTAAAAGGGAATCAGGCGTGTACCACCTGATCCAACGGCCCATAGGTTTACAAGTGGCTGTATCTCAATTTAAATGGGCTAACTTAGCTCTCTTCTTTAAACTCAAATGGAGTCAGATGTGTAGTTGTGCATTGTTACAAAATGAAGAGTTGACACATAGCATTAATCCTCTTTAAGAGGATATTTGTTAGTGACTAAGGCTGGCATAATTCCTTACAAGCCCGATTAATATTAGCATGCGATTTCCACCTCACCCAACCAGTGTTTATAGTAATAATAATAACAACAATTACAACCAAATCTTCTTCTAACATATGATTGTTAAGAAACCAGTTCCAAAATGTATCACTTGTCATGAATCCTCAACTATAAGTATTTCCCTATCAATTTAGATCAGAAAAAAATCCCCGCCTAGGGATTTGCCTAATTGCCTTCTATTGTGATCATATCTCAGTTGTCATAGCAAAATTGAATAGAAAGAAATATATAATGAAGTAACAATACATACTCAATATTGATACTATCGAAGAGTAATGCCAACTTCCGTTTATCAGGCTTAATTGTCTTAGAGTGTCCACCATACAAGTATCTTCTGTGGCCCAGTAGAAAATGGGGGAAGTTACCACCCTGAGTGGTGACAAACACCTCGCTATGAAGACAAACAGTGTAGTCTATAGCAGCCATCCTGGAAGAATAATTCTAGAAAGTAACTCAAGTCAAAACAGAGCACTTAAATCCTGGGGTGTATGAGTAGGGTAGAGTATGAATCTAAACCTTAAATGGAGCAAGTTCCTCTTCAGATGCTAGAGTTTCCTTAGTATGCAAATTAGGAAACATTTCCTGTAGCGGGGCCATTGTTTTCTCAGCATTATATATTTTTCCTGATGCCAAATAGATAGATGTGTTCTTTGTGAAACCCATTCCCCTCAGCATAAGGCCAACCTGAAGATGTGTAGGAAGGCATTGACCATAATTTAAACTAATCATGGGAAAAAAATTATGAAACTCTGTATAAAAACAGTAGCTGACTTAAAAGTAGTGAAGCAAAAGAGCACCATCCAGGAAGCTTTTGATGCTCCTGGCAAGACTAGAGAAAAAAAATTATTTCCTCAAATCATCTTCCTCTTAGAGACCAAGATAACTGGACATTTAAGGAGATAATACCTCTAATGGAGTGAGGGGACACTTTCCATTGATCCTGATTGCTCCAGGACGTATAACTCGTCCAGGTTTTGTAAACTTCCCTTTCCAACCTCTTTCTCTTGCAGCAACCATGTCGTCTCTCTCCTGTTTTCCACCATAAAAAACGCAACAAGAGAAAGCAACCATATCCTGCAAAAGGGAAAAAATTGCAACAATTATCATTATGTAACGTTACCATTCATAATTTGAAGTCATTAAAAACAGACACGGTCTAACTAAAAGTCAAAACCAACCTCTTCAAAACGAAGATGTATGGAGACATATTTGCCACCATTCATTAAGCTATGTTTCTTCATTCTTGAGACCAAAGCTTCACCCATGGTCAATAAAGGACTTGAAAATCGTAAAGCTTCATAATTTGCTAAGCATCTAAGGCCTTGCACAACTGGAGGAGCATCAAATGACAATCTATTTGCAAATGGTGAAATTCTTATAACCCTGCATGATCAAATGCCCAAATTTGTAAATTAATACAGCAAACATAATAGATTTCCACTCACCAAATCATAACAATGAGAAGATATCACGCCAAGCATCATAGCATAAAAACTTAATCTAAAAATAATACACATCTAAATTGCAAATGCATTGACATTACATGAATAGGAGAATAACTAGCTTAAATTTGAATTTGAACCTAATTCAACTCCAAAAATTAGTTCGTAAGGTGATGACTGTCTTTGCCTTTATAAGCTCTACTTTGACAATATTTATAGTCAATGTGACATCTGAACGCATTTCCCTTATGCTCAAGATTGGCTAGAGCATAGTGATTGTAAGATCATTTATATATATATATATATATATATATATATATATATAGCCCTGGGAAAGCCATGGACCAAATAGACTTCACGAAGAAAGTCGTGACTCGTGAGGCCAGGCTAGGTTGCACTAAAAAATCCAGAGTTAAGTTAATTGCACTAAAAAAATTTACAGGGCCAAGTTAGTTTTTTTTTTTTTTTTACAATTGAGAGGGACTCAATGTCAAATCTACAATAAGTTCAGATACCATCTCAAATTTAGGTTAAAAGCTAGCTTGTAAGCTAAAGATTATTTTAACCTTTATAAGCTCTACTTTAGTCATATTTGTAGTCAATGTAGGATCTCAACGGACTAATTCATATTTCATAATTAGTAGAATCTCTGCATATATTAAAATACTTGTATGCACAAGTTGGGTGGCAATATTTGGCAATGTTTTAAAAACTAGATTGGTCATTGAAATAATAAAAATACTGGCTCATGATTCGCTAGTCTGACCATAGTTAAACCATAGTCAAATCAGTGATAATTAGATAAATAAGTTTCAATATTATATAATATATTAAGTAACAAACTAACATAACATCGTAAACAATAAAGTTAGGTGATATTCTGAATTAATAGACAAGGTCCACAAGATATGTCTTGCAAGATAAAAAGCAACAATAAGAGTTGATAATAAATATAAATAAACATAAATTAAGAATATTTTAGCATGTAATGAAGTAATATGAAGATTTTGCATAACTATCAAGGTGTGCTAGTGGAGCAAGGATAAAAGGTGCTGACAAAATACAATGAAGGCCAAAATTTTATATCCAGCAAAGGAGATTACATATTTTTGGTGAAATAATCACTCATCAATTATATCAGGATAAATTTGTGCAGTTGAGAAGGTTTGAACCTGCTGGCTTGATAGTTTAATGGCTAGTTTTCAAACTACTAATTATAAAGGCTGATGAAAACAATCAATGAACTGATTGGTTCAACTCCAGTTTTCTTAACTGTGACATTGGGCTGAACTTATTTCAAATTAAACTATAGTGAAAATATTTCCTTGAAAAAACTTAGAAATTGTTGAGTTGTTAGAATCTATGAAAAATATCCAATAAAATATTGACTATATTGTAAGTACCTTATATTATCTCGGCCAATTAGTTCCAATATTTCCTTATATTTCATGATTTGTTACCTTATATAGTTAGGATTATGATCTAGTATATTAATATAAGTAAGAGTTGGTGCTTTATGTTCAATCTCTTCTATCTCATTTTCCTACCTCTACCTAAAACACTGTATTTTCAACAATGTATCAAAGTGGTGTAATTCACCATGATCTATGTTATTCTTATTGTCACCAACTTCCCTAAAATTCAGAACTATTACGTTAATGACTCATCATTCTGATCTATGTTATTCTTATTCTTCTTCTGAATACTGTGATAAAATACCCAGTATACTGTTTAACTGTTAGAGCGATAAATTCATATGATGACCATCACATACTCACTTTTCTTCAAGTAACTTTGGGAGTACCACATCCTTGTAATACTGAATGGATGACCAAGCCTTTATCCTGAAATTGTAAACATTTGTCATGTTGCTGCCAAATCTTTCCATCAGGTACTCAGGAATTTTTTCAACCACCCGTACATCATTTTTCAAGGTATTGACAAAATATTCTTCATCATAAATGTCACTGAATTTGCTGGAAAATTGAAACATTATGAAACAATTTTAGTCCATTTAAAATGAAACACCATAATCGAAATTGGTATAACTGCCAACAAACTCATCGTTCAACACAACAGTGTAATTTTATATGAAACATACATAATATTGACCTCAAGACAGTGGTGCAGGGTGGCCAACCACAAACCCCAGAAACAATTTCTAGTAAATTCAAAATTCATATCAATAAAAAAAAAAAGACTTGTTCATCATTAATACTCAAAAGTCATATCATTATCAAACAAACACCGGAAAGAGAAGCAGGGAAATGGGCAAGGCAAAAAGAGAGTAAAAAGAGCTGGGCATGAAAACTTGTTAAAATAGGGCAAGTAGCAAATATTGTAGTCTAATAAGCAACAAAGAATAATAGAACAGCAAGTTCAGGTGGGGGGAAGAAAAAAGCCGATAGTCTGGCAAGTAAATTGTAACCAAAGAGAAAAGAAAATATTTAAAAATTAAAGATGATAAAGTCAATTTCCAATAAAGGAAGGACAGTGATGTCTTTTCAGTTATTTGAGAGATATCAAGATAAAAAGGATCATATTACACTTGTCAAAATTACAGTTCTGTACTAAAGGTCCACGTTTTCAATACATGTCATAAGAAGGTTAGACTGCCAGAAAAAGGCAGGATGCAGCCAGAAAAGGGTTAGGCTGGCCGGAAAATGTTTCAGATGGCTCCTCTATTAGCAGCAGCAGCAGCAGCTGTGGTTACTGCAAAATAACCTGCAACTGGTATTCACAACTAAGCTGCCCTAGCGGCCAGAAGACTCCACATGCCACACTGTCTGGCTCCATAGCACCTAGCTAATACTATGCCAACGTAAAAACTAGACTTCCCTAGTGCTGAAAACTAAAATTAAAAGATGGGAAAGGAAACAAACAAACCTAGGATCTTTCCATATACTATGATAGTGGAAATTCGGAATCACAAGTGTAGCATTCAAATAGCCAGCCACAGCAACAGCATTGCACACCTACGAGGGACAACATTAACATTCATTATATAAATAAGTCAAGTGTAAAGCTAATTTAGGAACACTTAAAAGAACAGGAATGTACAGAAAATTCTAACCGATGCCCTTTGCTGATTTAAGCCACCATTAGCCTCTACATAAATGTATCCATTTGATTCAGGAAGGCCTATTAAAAACATAAAAGATTTACATTAATATTTAATATAGAAGATGCAAACATAATTTGCCTGACATAAAAGGACTGCAAGAAGATAGATTTAAATATGAAGGTAGCAACACGAACAGCACACATCATAAGTTAACCACCTAGTGTTTTCACACAAGAGTTCCCACAGCAATATTGGCTATCTTTCTTGCATAAATTGCCAATCCACAATTTTAGTTCCATTGTTACTCGCAAATATCCACCTTTATCTTAACTTATATGATAAGGAAACCTCCAAATTAAAGGTCCATTTGGGTCTCCTTGACTTTGTTAATTTGTCCCCTAGTCCAAATTAGAGAATTTGGTCACTTTGATACAACCAGGTTGATTTGTCCAAATTTTATTTTCAAATTTGATTCATTCATTTCATTGAATAGAGAAGCATTTTACCTTGATAAGTCCCTTTGGAAATCCAAAGTCACCTGTAAGGTTAAGTCTTTTCTATGGACAGCTGTATTTAATAGAATTAATACCAATAACATGCTACAGATTTGAAGGCCATATAAGGCAATTTCACCAGATATTTGTAACATGTGGCGCAAGTTTGGAATCAGTCCCTCATCTATTCTTGATTGCTTTGCTGCTACGTCTTTATTGAATGTTATTTAGATGTTGGTTGTTGGTGAGTGGTGACTCAGTGTGCCCTAGGTCTTTTGACCATTTTTTTTGGTGACTAGTTCTAATGGTTTTGGTAAAAGTATAGATGCCAAATTATAGAGGCAATGTGCAATATTTGTTACATTCTGGTGCATTTGGTTGAAGTGTAACTCACAGTTTTAAGGATATTTCAGCAGTTCTTTTGGGATAATATTATGTATTTGGCTTCCATATTGGTGTCACGCATGTAGGTTTTTGGAAGGGCATCCCAAACAAATAGTGGTGAGATTGGATAGAGTTGCTGCTACATTGTTGCCTTTTGTTCCATGCAGTTAGCTTTCACTTCTCTTTTACTTAAGAAACATGAAATTAAAGTAAGCAATAAAGTGGCCAGGAGACATGGAAATAAAGGTATTGTTTCAAAGATTTTGTTTAGACCGGATATGCAATATTTGCAACACAGAAGACCTGTTGATATGGTCTTCAATCCATTAGGGGTATAAGGATAAGTTCTAGTCCTCCTTTCCTTTGTATTTTTATTCCTTTTGTCTTATTGAAATTCATCTTTAAAAAAAAAAAAAAACCATCAACTTTGTAGTGGACCCATGCATGTTTATCCTACCACTTAGTGGTGCTTCTTTTTCTCTTCAGCAGTCTGGGTATATTTATTACGTTTCTTGAGCAAGGTAGGTTTGGGAAATGAGGAATTTCATCAAGGAATTTGAAATTGACCCCATGAAACAGAAGTAAAGGACAGGACAGAATTCAAAGGAAGAAGCTATTTCAAATACTGCTAGACAAAGTGATGCTCTAAGTTCGGCACAATCACCTTTAAGAAATTTTAAAAGCTAAAAGATCATTGAAAAATACAATAACCACCACATCCTATGAACCACAATATACATTCAAGTTCACACAATTTCATGTAGTCCATAAACAAAGCCCTATAGATATTTAATATGATCTGCAGGAAATCATGAAAATTGAAAATTAACAATTTTATGAAAAGATCACATTCAATCATTAACTATATGATAAACTCTGTAAAATAAAACATAGTAATAAAGGATTAGTATATCATACAAATAAGTCTCCATAAGATAACTCCATCAGAATGTTTCACAATATGCTGCTAATCTTTTACCAGATTGATTAATAAGAACTTGTGATTGACTTGTAAACAAACCATAAAATAACATACACACAAATTTATATACGCACAAACACCTATTGCAAAAATGTTGCTATCTAACATGCTACATTCTATGATATCCATTGTCCCTAACTTATAGTGTCCCCACAGGAAAAACTAAACAACTAGGATAATAGGCAAAATAAGAGCATTAACTTTCTATTTGTTCAGTTTTAGTTTTTCAACCTAAGTCATAACTCGAGTACCAGTTGATGTGAGTATTAGTTAGATTGTACTCAACGCCATCCACAAAGGTTTGTGAATCTTGTGAAAGACAACAAAGAATAAGAGTATAAGACAATACTTTAAACTGCATATGACATGCAAAAGCTGAATGAATATTTTAAAAATTTTAATAGTAACATTAACACCAACAAAATGTGCCTATGAGTTTGGATGAATAGCTTAATTAAGTGCTTATTTAATAAAATCTTATTACATTAGAGCTTAAAACCATTAATTTGACCATATAACATAATAGAATAAGATGAAAAGAGTTTAATCTAATAAAATATGCAAAGAAGCTTATTGAAATAAGTTGAAAAGAGCTTATGGGAGTCAGAAACTATTTTCATAAGCCAAAAGAAGCTCCCTATAAGCTCTTCCAAACACCCCCTTTGTCAATATGTCGTGTATTGACAAATAATAAACAAAAGAATGGTACCTATGCACCAACACTAATCATTTATCGTATTATACCTTCTGAAGGTCTATCTATGCATGGCTTCCAATCACCACCTTTATACGGAATCTTCCATATCATTGATATCTGAAAGGAAGTTAACTGCTTTTGTCACTAAAATTATCCAACTTTCCATTTAACAGATTAGAAGTAACAAGTATGAAGATCTGTAAGGTGCTGAGGAAAAAATTAACATGACTCAAAATTCAAATATAAAGGAAGAAGTATAATCATTAAAAAAAATGCATCGTCAGAAGTCAGAACAAAGAAGTCATACATAGCTAGTGATGGTCAACATCAAGATTCACAGTATGAAAGATTCAAAAGTCATTGAGAGTTTTGGGTTCCAATAGTCAAGAACCCTTAAAGATGATTTTGACGGTAGGGGTGGAGGGGGAATACAGCCCATAATTTTGGGTTCCAATAGTCAAGAACAACTTAGAATTTTACTTCAACAAACAATATAATAATGTTTATCATCAGGCATGAAACATTTCCTAAATAAGTGAAGACATACATTGAGACGTCATGATATATATATAGACTCAAAACATAAATGAAAATTTTCATTTTCTTTACTCTGAACTTTTATAATCATCTCAAGAAACAGGATAGTTTTAAAAAGGGGACAAAATATTTAAAAGTTAATCATAGATTCATACATAAGTAAACGGAACCAAAAATTTGATGCTTCTGCCAATGGCTTGTATGAGTTGTATCCAATTGGCACTCAACTTACTTAATAAGCACCTTAGGTTAGGTTTCATGTCCACCTGTTCAGTAACTCTCAATGCCTAACACTACATCGCTCCTTCCAACCCAAACACCTCATCTTAAAACCTCCCTCACACTCAAGAAAGTAAAAAAGACACCTCTACATCAATGAAGATTGTAGCCAAACATTTTACTACTTACACAACTAAATAACAAGCCAACTAATACACATTCAACTTTATAACAAATAACTAGCCCCTACAACTTGGCAATAGTATACCAAGCACTACAACCCGATATGTTATCCATTATCCTTTTCTTCCAGATTCTTGTAGCTAAGGCAAGGACCGGCCATTTGAATCAATTTCCTTTACTTGAAAGCTTTCACTACACAGTTTACAGCATCACAGGATTATAACAATATAGAGCATGTTTGCATTACAGTGAGAATGTTAAAATCATCAGAGCCATTCAACCCTGTGCAACAATAAATCCTAATCCTCGACTTTATCTTGGGAACCGTGCCACATTGATGGAATGCTATAACCAACAGATCCTTAAGGCTTAAACTAAACTACATGACTAGAAAAAGTTCACTACAACGCTTAAAGAGCCGCACTCAACAGAAAAAACCAAATAATGACAGATGAAGAGTGTTAAGAAGACACTCCCTAACGTAATCTTTCTAACACACCATCTATCAGTGGCTGAAATTTATTGGAAACCATGAAAGTATGAGTAAGAATCACTAAGTTAGAAGCACGACTGCATAATTTTTGTGAATTTCAATAAATTTCAGCAAATAACAAAGCGTTTGTTGCATCTCTCGTGACAAATAACATCTAAAACACATAAATAGCACTTTGCTTTGCACGTTACAATTCCAAACAAAAAAACACAAGACAAACAAACACTACATTATCCGATCTTCCAATCGAATCACAAATACTCTAATCCAAAAACAGCAACCGAATTTTTTTTTAAAAATGATTAAAAATTTTCACCGCATCGTCGGAAGAATCGTCGGCGTCCATGGAGGTTCGGAGCTTGGCGTAGAGTTCAGGGCTGCGGTAGAGGGAGCCAGGGGCGGGACGGTGGTTGATGATGGGAATGACGTCGAAGGAGACGGTGGCCATGTAGAGAAGCATCCCCGATATATAGATGAGAGGTGCGAAGAGGAACACGCCTTGGCGCCGAAGGAGGATAGAGAGAAAGACCCACGCGAGCCGTTGTGGACCGGTTCGGGTCGGGTTGAAGCGGTTGGGCTTGGAGCGGGAGTGGCGGAGGCGAGGGGAACGGAGTGGTGACTGCGGCGGTGACGGGGTGGAGTGGCCACTGCTCGGTAGCCGGTTGTAAGGGTGCATTTGGGGAGCAACGTGCTTACGGGAGTGCGTCACATCATAATTACGGTGCGCCTCTCTCTCGCTCTCTATGACAGACCCCCCTAACAATGGCACCGTTTCTCCTTTTGGAACCAGCTATCATTCCAATTTTAATAACCTTTTTTTTTAACGTGCGTGCATACATAATAAAATAAATAAATACTAATAAAAAATTATAATATTTAAATTTATAATTTTTTATAAAAATATATGGTTTTATTAAATAATGCTTTTAGAATATTAGTCAAAAAATAAAAACATTAAAAACGCTTTTAAAACGAGTAAATATATATACTAGTATTTGTTATTAAAAATAAATAAATAAAACTAAAATGTTCGAGACACAGAGATGGTAGTTAAGTTGCACAAGGTAGAAAGAGAGGGTGCACGTGGAAAGAAAGGTTTTGGTTGATGGAAACAATGTAGGCGAAGACTTTGAGTGGGGTTTAACTCAGAATCAAGATAAAAAGGACGTTAATGGTAACTTGATGGAAGTGGATTTATAGCTTCAAAATAATACTTTTATACTTTGCTTGTAAATGTTATTTTCCTTCATTTTATACTTAAAAAAATATTTTAATCTATGTTTACTTTGCTTGCAAATATCTTTATTTTTATTTGTTTGTTTCCCTTTTTTTAAAATACTGTAATTTAGCTTTTACTTTTTATTATACAAGATGAGTATATTTCTTTTTTTTTAAGGGGTTTGATCGATATGACATTGAATTAAGATTGTAATTTTTTTATGTGACTGGTGTTGGATCATAGATGTTTGTAAGCTTCGACATGGTAATGAGTATTTTCTTGTGCAGAATAAGCTTTAAATTATGTATTTAAGTGACTGAATTTAACCTTTTTACGTGAAATTTCAATAGGAGAAATATTTATATGATGTACCTATTCTATGTGTTGGCTTGGGATGTATTTAACACAGCAAACAAGAAAGGAAAAAGTCAAATGAAAAAAGTGCAAGGCAAAACTTGGGAGAAAAGAAAAGTCAAAAAAGAAAAACTAAAGGAAAAAAAGCCAATGAAAAAACGAAAGGAGAAGGCAAAGAGAACAAAACTATTGTAAGTGAAAAAGACTTGAAGGTAATAAATATATATATGTGAAAAAAGTAAGTTTAAAAATTTTTAATACTCAATTAAAATCTTTCATTTAATTTATATTTAATAGTCAGTAAATTAATAAATTATAATTCGTTAAATATAAGTTAAATAAAAAATTTAAATTTAGTGTAAAAGTTTTTAAACTTATACTAATGTAAATATTGTAAAAAAGTCTTACCCTGTATATATATATATATATATATATAAAGAAAGAGATAATTAAACATACCAAATAATATAAATTATCAAACTAACATAAAAGAAGTAGTCTTTTCTTACTTGATAAAGAAGAGACTTGTGTTTATAATTTAAGACAAAATTTATATTCTTAAATATCTATATAAATTGTGAAGAATTTTATAATTTAAAAAAAAATTATATAGATAAAAAGTAATAAAATAATTATAAAAATAAGGTGTATGAATAAAATATATAATTAAAAAATATTACATGCAAAGAGTAATATCAATTATATTTATAAAATAAAAAGATTTATTGATAACATAATTATGTCAAAGTTTTTGTTTATAAAAAATTTGTGAAATTTTTTTTTTATAAAAAAAACCTAATAATAAAAAAGTCAATAATATATAATAAATTTATAAGATAATAAAAGACAAGAAATTTATATTAAAAAAATATAAAATAAAAAAATAACATTTGAAAAAAATGTAGAACTATAATAAAACATTGTTAAGGTATAATTTTAGATTAATATATAAGATGAACACATTTTTTTAACCTAATAATTTTATGTAATTTTTTAAGTTATATATTTACTTTTTTAGGAGGTTGATTGCAAATCACTTAACTAATAATATAGTATTAAATTATTCCGAATGAATAATGTGAAATTTACATTTTCATTTCCTTTGTATTTTTAAATATTAATTTCACATTTAATTCATATTATATACTAATTAAATTATATAAATTAACTCCAATTTTATGTAATTAAATAATAAAATTAATTAACAAAGAAACAAAATATAAAAACAATATTTAAGTGAATAAATTATTTTTTTAAAACAAACTAAATAAAAAAAATCGCAAGTTCTTTTTTAGGAGTCAAAACCTTATTTAAACTTTTAAAAATATTATAATAAATATCTAATCTTAAAAAAATAAAAATATCAAAAAGATTATTTTAATTTTTCCTGATGTTAAAAATAATTACCGACTCCAAACAAGTGACACCACATAGTAATTTTTGGAAAAGGTAGACAAAGAAATCTCAAATTAATTCTTCCAGAATCGTTTTGAAACTATTAATTTCAAACATAGGCTAAATTTTTAACATCAATTGTTTAAAATTCAATCAATTCAACTAAAAATAAAAACTTAATTACCGTTATTCTCTTTATGCTCCAACCCTTGAAGAAGCTGGAATGGGACACAGTTGCTGCATAGTTGCCAAAACCGCAGAGAGAGAGAGAGAGAGAGAGAGAGAGAGAGATGGGGAACAGAGAGAAATCTAAGGAACGAAGAGAAAAGCGATTGCAAGAGATACGGCTTCAGATGACCATTCCCTATTCTGATCACCAGAGGTTCATTTTTTATTTTTTATTTTATTTTTTTGCAATTTCCCTTCTCAGGTTTAGAGTTATTATTCTTTTAGATTTTGAAAGTTGAAACCTACAAATTTCATAACAACTCGCACTGACTTCCGCTACTTAATTTCTGCAATAAGTTCCTTTTTCATTTCCATCTCTAATCTTTTGTTTTCCTTTAATGTGAATTTTCTTTTTCGTTTTCGTTGATTTAAAATATATCCTATAGTTACAACTATATATTGAAAAATAAATTTACATAACTCTTATGGCTCATTCGAAGTTTGTTGGGTAAAATCTTGAGTGTGTGATATTGCTACTTCGAAGTGCCTATTGGCACTCTTGTTTAAATAATTCTTGTTGAAAAAAATTTAATAAGACTATAAATGGACACATGAAAATGACAATAGACATTCCTTAAAATCTTAAACGATGCTTTAATCTTTGGTGGAACCATCCGTATAGGTATGAATAAGAGAAATAGATATAAACACGCTTTCTAACACATTCTTTATTATTGAGTACTATAACATGTGGAATGAGGGAGTAAATTTTGTGTGGTTTGGGACCATGTGTTCCAGCTACTCACATCGCGCCCTAGTATAAAATTTTTCTTGTAAATTGTAAAATTTATACATATGGCACAAATACAATATCATTGGTCGGAACTACATGGTCCTGGACAATGAAAAAGTTTTTCGGAATAAGGAGTCGGATCAACTGGATAAGGGGTGAGATATCATTTAGTGGAACCCTCGTATTTTGCCCCAATAATAAAGAGTTTGTTAGAAACTAGTGTATTGTTAGCATTTCTCAATGACTAGTTGTAAATACAAAATTATTGTTGGTGACAGTGTTCTTTGCTATTTTTTCTGTTGTGGAGTTGGTTTAGCTTGTTTTTATTTTGTTTCAATGTTTGGTAGTGTATGCTAAAATGTCAAGATGATCTTTGCACAGACCCCTTCGTTCAGACCTTTGATTTCATATGCATCTTCTGGTCAATGAGGGAAAAACTATTGTTTAACCACAAGTGAATGTCTGGATGTTATGTGTGATGATTGAACCAATCTTGAGAGTGTTCCCAGTTGCCACTTGGCAAGCATGTAACACTCAGCATGTGTTTTGTTTGACAATGATTGCTGTTTCAGCCTTTAATTTAAACATCCATAGTTTCTGGAATTGCAGAACATTCTTCTAATCTCTGTTGCTTGTTCTAATTGTTGTTGATTTGATTTGTGTATTTGGAGGTGGTGGTCCAAGGAAACAGTTGCCGTGGTTACTGGTGGAAACAGAGGAATTGGGTTTGAGATTTGTAGACAACTTGCTGCTCATGGATTGACTGTTATACTAACATCAAGAGATTCTAGTGCTGGTGTTGAATCACTTAAGATTTTTCAAGAAAGTGGTCTCAACGTGATTTATCATCAACTTGACATAGTAGACCATTCATCCATCAACCAGTTTGTTGAGTGGTTGCAGAAAAATTATGGTGGTTTGGATATTCTGGTCAGTTTCTATAATGTGCTTTCTTTCACATAGTCTGATTTTAACTACACAAGCACGTGCTGTTGGGATCTATCTAGTAGTTGTATCCATTTTGATTACTTCTGTTCTGGCTTATCTTTTGCCATCTTCTATTATATTTATGATTGTGTTCACAAAATAAATTTGTTTTAGATTTTATTCATGATGAATCTAAATATGCTAAGTATGGATATAAATGCAATAAGATGATTAGATTTTACTGTTGTGGATGATGTGGTTTATCACATTTCTTATTTTATGCTTCTGAGTTCTGAGCAATATCATTTCCATGCAGGTAAACAATGCTGGTGTTAATTTTAATCTTGGATCTGAGAATTCAGTTGAAAATGCTTATAAGGTTATTAAAACAAATTATTATGGCACCAAGAGTATGATTGAAGCTATTATTCCATTGATGAAGCCATCCCTCATTGGTGCTCGCATTGTAAATGTAAGCTCACGTCTAGGTCGACTAAATGGAAGACGGAATGTAAGTAAAATCTCTTCACTGTGTTAACAATGTTTAAAAAAATTGATCTTTGGTTCTTTCCAAACATTCTCATGGTTCTTTCATTTTCTCCTACCTTTGTCAAAATAAAAAATGTATCTCACCATTTCCTTATTGGAGTTAAAACTAAACATGTTTCCACACAAATATTCATGTTCTGAAATATGAATTGCTTAATATGAAGTTGTTGGCTACAGAAGCTGTGGTGTGAATTTGGAGCATAACTCATATGTTCATATCAGTATTCTTATTTGAATAAAATGAAAAATCTTTTGAAGTGCTGCAATTCCTTCTAGCATTGTGTAGTGATGTATTTGTGAACAATTTAGTAAAACATACAGTTTGTGGTAAAATGTTTTTATTGTTAGCTTTGAGATTGTATTGTACCTATTGTGCACAATATGACTTATGCTGGACATAAAATTGATAATGTTTTGTTTGAGTGACAGAGAATCAGCAATGTAGCCTTGAGGGAACAACTGGGTGATGTTGAATCCCTTTCACTGGAACTTATTGATCGGACACTGTCTAGTTTTCTACAACAAGTTGAGGATGGAACTTGGACATCTGGTGGATGGCCTCAAGTATACACAGACTACTCAGTGTCCAAACTTGCAGTTAATGCTTATACAAGGCTTATGGCAAGGGAGCTTTATGAGCGACCAGAAGGTCAGAAGATTTATATAAACTGTTATTGCCCAGGTTGGGTGAAAACAGCTCTTACAGGTTATGCAGGGAATAATACTGTTGAGGAAGGGGCTGATACTGGAGTATGGCTTGCCCTTCTGACTGATCAAACAATCATAGGAAAGTTTTTTGCTGAGAGAAGAGAAATTAAATTTTAGGTTGGTAACTGTTGGAATTAGAAAAAGTGTTTAATTTTGATATAATTTTTAGGATAAAACTTAGGTGCGATAATACTACAGGTATTTTTGGTGTTGTTTTCCAATTAAAATTGGAATTTTAGTTCAATAATGTGTGATGACTTTTTATGCTAACCTTTATTACATGAATTACTGATGTGAAACTCCAATTTTAATTGGAAAACAATACCAAAAACACCTATGGGTACTACACCTTAGTTTTGTCTTAATTTTTACTGTCAATCACTTAGATATCACCTTAAAGTAATTTTAATTATTACTGACTTTTGCAAAATTCAAAGAAAAAAATGAGATTTTGTTTGGTGCAGTAGTTTGCTAGCATGTTGAATTTCCTTATATATCATGTAATTTTGAGTGATAAGCTAATTCTTTTCGATAATTTTTGCTTCACAAGGCAACGAGATGGGAATAGGGTCCAAACATGAAATGAACAACACCATCTTCCCCCGGAACACACGCTACTTTTAGAGTTACAGATGATTGTAGAGAAAACTTACTTAAATTTGTAAATTGTAAAAAGTAAGAAAAGTTACGTGTTTTTATGAGATTCATATAAGAATTATAAATTAAAGAGTTAAGTAATTCTACTGGAAAACACCATCAAAGATTCTGAGGATAGATCCAATTTAGACTGATGAAGTGAAGGGAGCGGCCAGTAGGAGGGAATAGCCTGAATTGATATCCACTGGGCTATTGGGGTTTGAAAATAAGTATTTCGGTTCACATTATTGAAAGAGAATCTTCACAATACTGCTAAGCTACAAATGAGTTTGTTTTGTTGTGACTTATTTTATGACTTCATAAGGAAATGTTATCTTATTTGATCGCTTTCATCTATTTTTAGGTAAAATTGTTTTATAATATAAAACACGAAAGTTATATAATAAATGAGATCAAAAGATATAAGAATAATTTTATTTTATTATAAAAACTTTCTCAGTCATGCGCTGAATCTTCCGGTGTGTAAAGAAGACAAATCTTGTTTGATCACCCTGCCTAAAATTAAATCCGCAATCACCATAGCACATAGAGAGAGTTGCCACTTGCCACTTCACTTCTTCTTCCGAGCTTTATTTCCACTCTGAATACCGTCCTTCTCCTCTTACTACACAAGGTAAGGTTTCACTTTATCCCTTCGTTTCACTGCTTCAATACCTTTTCTTCTTTTTCAACCTTAAAAAGTCAACGCTTGTTCTGCCTTTAACTCAGCTAGTTCCTTTTTATTTATTTATTTATTTATTCTCTCAACAAACAGACAAGGCAATGACCCTTCGTCTTTTCTCTTCAACCTCATTTCTGAGTTTTTAGTTTTCAGGCTTTGCTTTCACATGAATCTCGTAGTTGTTACTGTTATCACAGTAGTTGTCGTGTTTTATGTGGTGAAAAATTTGCACTCAAATCTGTGGGTCCCATGGAGAACTCAAAGTCACTTCAGGAAGCAAGGGATAAGAGGCCCTGGCTACCGTCCGATCTTTGGGAACACATCAGAGATCAAACGGCTCTACGCAGAGGCGAAATCAGAGGCAGGCCCTCTGTTTGACCATGACATAGTGAAACGTGTGGTTCCATTTTACCACAGGTGGGCTTGCGTGTACGGGAAAACTTTCTTGTACTGGTTCGGTTCAACGCCACGGTTAGCAATAACTGACCCGGAAATGATTAAGGAGGTGTTGATGAATAAGAGTGGGGAGTATGGGAAAGTTGCGTATAACCCCCAGTCCAAGTTGCTGTTTGGACAGGGACTTGTTGGCTTGCAGGGTCAACAATGGGCATTTCACAGAAGAATAATAAACCTGGCCTTCAACATGGAGCTTGTTAAGGTACTGCATCTTGTCTTAGAAGGGAATGGAAATGAAGAAAGGGTGCTATTGGAAGAGCTTAGGAAAACTAATGGAAATAGCTTCTGAAAGTTATAGGAGCTTGTTTTAAAATGTTACTTTCAGTCTAATAAGAGTTTATTAAGTAACCACTTAATTAAGTAGTTATCTAACCCAAACTTTAGTGCCGGTGCCTAGTGTTTTTTTTTTTTTAAAGTAAAAATTAAGTTTTATCTTGATAATTTAGACATCGTTAAAACTTCAATTAAACTTTTTAATGTGGTGGAAGGCTATACGATTAAAACTTATGTAATAAATTTATACTAATTTAATACATCGATAGTGTTAAATTCTAGAATTTCTGATAAAAATTTATTATTTATTGTTTTCTTACTGTATACATGTTAAAAAAATCGTTAATTAAAAACTATTGCCAAAAGTATTTAGAGTAAAATACATAAGTTTTTGTCCATTTAAAAAAAAATACAGCAATGCTGTTAAGTACAAGAAAATTGACCTAAAAAAAGTTATGAGTAGATTTTTAACCAATTTGGAGGGAATTGAGTGTGTAAGTGGAGGGAGCAACCGGTTTGAAGAAAGAAAAAATTGTTGCAAGGGGAAGCAATTTAATTTCTTATGGTTTTACAGAAATCATTTCATGTAATTCAATTTTTTTTTGGTAAATTAAAACTATACTTATTTCTTTTGAGGTTTAATCAAATTTTACATGATGCTCCCCAGTTTTTAGACCCTACAAAAATCTCCTTTAATTTATATAACATAATACCATATAGTCTTCTCGCTATTATAGACTTCTCTTGCTTTTTTATGCAGCTTTATGAATTAAAAAAGGTCAAAGTAATGTCAAGAAGTGGAAAGATATCTCGTTAAATATCATTAAATGTCATGCATAGACAAAATTTGGCCCTTTTTCTCCTAAAAAGTAAAGTATTGTCAATAAATTTTTTCTCCCTTTAAATGGTGTTTAGTTGTTAGTTTCTTTTTGTTGACATGTCACCTTTTACTTTGTGATTTGAATCCTCTGTGTTTTGGTTATGAAGGACATGACAGATTATTAATGAGTGTGTCATGAAATCTGTTGCAGGGATGGGTGCCAGATATTGTGGCAAGTGTCACAAAGATGCTGGAGAGATGGGAAGACCAAGGGGGAAAAAGAGATGAATTTGAGATAGATGTGTACAAAGACCTTCATGATCTTTCTGCAGATGTTATATCAAGGACTGCTTTTGGCAGCAATCATGAAGAGGGAAAGCATATTTTCGACTTACAGGAGCAGCAAATGCATCTTTTCTCACAGGCAGTTAGAAGTGTCTATATCCCTGGGTTTAGGTGACTTTGCCAACTCTTAAGATTTTTTTTCTCATTATAACCATATCCCATAAAAATAGATTATTATTTCAAGTTACAGCCTCACAAACTGACAATTACTATAGATGAGGAATACAGTTACATGTATATTTATTTGATCCAGAGTTTGGATGCTAAATTCTAAACTACAATTTGGTTATTCATGTCTCCAAAATAAAGTTTTTGGCATACATGCTGTATTTTGCCGCCTTGACTTTTAAGTTATTTAATGTTTTACACCTTTTTCCTTTTTGGAACTTTGATAAAACAATAGATATTTGCCAACTAAGAAGAACAGGGATAGGTGGAGGCTAGACAAAGAAACACGTGAATCAATTCACAAACTTATTGAGACCAAGAGCAATTTGAGGGAAAATACTAGAAATGTACTTAGTTCTTTGATGTCTTCCTACAAGAATGAAGTAGGTGGTGAAGAAAAATTAGGGGTGGAAGAAATTATAGATGAATGTAAAACCATCTACTTTGCTGGAAAGGAAACAACAGCTAATTTGTTGACATGGACACTTCTTATGTTAGCCAAACATCAGGAATGGCAAAGTAAGGCACGCGAAGAAGTTCTTCGTGTCATCGGACACAGTCAACTTCCAGTTGCAGACAATTTAAATGACCTTAAGATTGTAAGTTCATTTTTTATACTTATAGGGAATCGGTATAATGCATGTGTTTATATCAGTGTTAGAATGAAGATTACTATACATCTATTCTGTTGAATGCAAGATGGAGCACAGTGATGCGTAACTGAATACATATTGGTGTGTGTTTGGTTCAGCTTATTTTGGATTGCTCATAAATCATGGATCTGTTGTCAACAGACAAGCTATGCTATGTAAAATGCAAGCAGATGTGCAGAAGAATCAAGAATTAGGCCATGGATGGAGAAACAAAAAAGAAACATAAAATGGAAATACATGATTTTAGAGAAATGAATTAAGAATGTAACTAATATCTGTTAAATAGTGCAGTGCAGTATATTGAAGTAATCAGTTTCTGCATTGGATTAATAAATGAGCTAACAATCAATTGAGTTCATAGACAAATCTGTTGTTTCAGTAATATCCTTCAATACAAAATTTGGTTCAATTTCATTGATTATTGTTGGTATACATTTTCCAACAGGTTAGCATGATAATTAATGAAACACTTCGGCTCTATCCTCCGGCAGTGATGCTAATGAGGCAAACATATAAAGATGTTATGCTTGGGAGCATCAATGTTCCTGCTAAGACTCAACTGTTCTTGGCACTGACTGCTGTTCATCATGATAAAGAAATCTGGGGAGAAGATTGTCATAACTTCAATCCGATGAGATTTAGTGAGCCTCGGAAACATTTAGCCTCGTTCTTTCCTTTCGGTTTAGGCCCTCGAACCTGTGTTGGGCAAAACTTGGCAATGGTTGAGGCAAAGATTGCTTTGGCTTTGATCATTCAACGTTACAGTTTTATGGTATCTCCAAACTATATGCATGCTCCTATGCTATTTATAACTTTGCAGCCTCAACATGGGGCACAAATCTTTTTCAGAAGGGTTTCATATTGAAGATTGTTATTGCCTATACCCTTTTCTGTTTTGTTTTGAACTTTGTATGTGATGAATCTTTGTAGCTATAAATAAAGTGGTGTACTTTTGACATGTGAAATCTGTGTTGATAGCTGGTGAAAAATTTTCAAGGCAGCATAATATAAATTGGATCATCAAATGTATATAGGTTTTTTTTATTTGCATTTTCACTCTTGCATCTTATTCCTTCGAAGGCGTGTATAGGGATGTGAAAAGTACATGAATGATGAATCTGTCTAACTTGATTGCATGAATGCTTCAGTCTGTCAGAGCATAATAATTTATTCCCCCACGTCCATTTTATAAGAATATTTTAACTAGGTTGCTAATTAGTTAATGTGTTAGTTTTTTGAAAAAATTATTTTTATTATATTAATTGTTCCTAAGTTAGAAAAGTTCAATAATAAAGGATAAATATGTGAACAAATAATAAATAACTTTAAAATTTTGTAAAGGTCTTATATTAAGAACCAATGGAAGTCTTTAAAGTTTTTTATAAAAAAGACTGAAAAGAGTACTTAACTTTGCAGGTTTAGACAAGTCCACTTTAGGCATGTCAGCTATTTATCTTACTAAATAGGTTGAAAGAAAATGTATTAACTTATGTAAAGCTATCCACTATTGAAGAAAATTGGCACAAGGAGTTGATTTTGATTAAGGTAAATTTCTTTTGGCATTTTCGGTAGATAATTTGCTTCTTTATATGTGTGTGTGTTTTAGATGAGCTTGAAGTCTTTTTACAAGAGAGAAGAGAAACAATAGGATAGTTGCTTCACCGGAAGGGTGAGTATAACCTGTGTATTATTAATCCATATGATACAATAATGCAGTCGTATTAAAGATGTTTCATATTTTTCTAAAAACATTATTGACTAAAAAAAAATAAAAAATAAAGAACTAAGATCCTAAGAAAATTAAGACTAGAAACATATTTAAACTGTTAAAAATATATAAGAAAATGATATAATAAATTTACTTAAAGTAAAATAATTAATATGAAACGCACCTAAAAGTATAAGTAATAAAACATTTTTTGGAAAAGCTACAGTTACTTCTCTTGCTCCTAAGAAGATCCACCGTTGCCTATTAGTTTTGCTTGATTTTCTAAAACTACAGAAAACAAATCATTAATTTAAAAACTCTATTAAAACCCTAACATTTAATAGCAAAAAAAAAAAAAAAAACATAAAATTTAGTGCAGTTTCTATTTAAGTCCCTAAAATTGTGACAATATTTAAGATTACCCCGTGTGCCCAAGCATTCATGGAGGCGATAATCTTGTCTTATCCCACAGTGCATGCAATGGATAAAGTCAAAAGATTTATTTGACTTTAAATTTCCGAATACCAATAAGTAATCATTAGGTTAGTTAGACAATCTACAAATTTGTTTGATTCCTAGCTATTAGTTATCTATTAACTATTTAGTTACTTTAGGAAAATTTCAGTATTAAATTACTAACATTATACAAGCATTTTTAACATATACTTAAAATTCAATTAACTTTAAACAGAAGATATAAAATACTAACTTTATCAGTGTATAATTTATCATCTAATTGATGAAGCAAAAGCAAATGTATGTCTATGAAGCCGAGAAGGGCTTGGCCAAGCCCAGATTCCTCTCTTATATTCACATCATTGGTTTTAATTTACTAAAGCACATTAGAAGAAGGAAGTAAGGGAAATTAGGGAGAGAAAGCATAGAAGAAAAAGCTTAAAAGGAAAAAAAAGGGTCTTCATCAACTTCAAGTAAGGTGAGAGTAACTCTTTTCTTGCACTGTTTTTTTTATCATAAGTTTAAACCTGTGACTAGTTTGAAAATGAAAAGATTCAAAGATATGCGTAATAGGATTATCTTGGTGGTAAATTTTAGAAGAAAATATAAATTCTTTATGTGTATGTTGAGTTTTACTTATTGACAATAAAATAGTCCTTTCTATATCTCCTTTCCACAACGTTCCTTTTTTGAAAGTTTGGGTGCTAATGAATTATAGAGGATTGTGTGACCTAGATTTTAAATTTACGGATTTAACGACGAGCCTTTAACATTATTTATGACACCTGGCAAGAAGTCTGATTCACGATCTTTTTCCTAACAAAATTTATCAGTAGGAACTTAGAAAATTAAATATAACTCAATTTCAATAGTTCATCTATAGGATAAGGGTTATTTAAGCTTTATGTCTCTACTAACTTTTAGCTAATATGAATTATTTTAATATACCTTTCTCATGCCCAAATTTAGACGTGGAGTGTGTTAAGCTTGTAAGGTTCTTTTAAATTTTTTTGAAAAATTCTAAGTTAAAAATGTTAAAGGGTGTTTGATAGGGAAATTTTTAAGTTAAAAATGTTAAAGTTACATGTATTTAGGCAATGCTTTCTAAAACAGAGTTAGAAATTAACATTTTTTGAAACGTGTTTAATAATTGTTTTATGTATTTTATTTTAAAAATTTTAAATAATAATAAATTTAGTTAATGATATAATAAAAATTAATAATTATAATAGAGTAAAGAAATATTTTTTAAATATTAATATTCTTAATAAACAATACTTAAACCAAATAAAATTAAATTTATCTTTAATTTTTTAAACTCTTAACGATAAAACAATTCAATCCAAGCACATATTTCACGACAAAATGTTAATTTTATATTTAAATTTATTTTTAATATAAAATTTACATTAATCAAAATTTTATATCTTTAAAGAACTAATTCTTTAGATTACTTCACATTAAAATAAACAAATTACTAATAACAAACTTTTTAATATATTATTTATTATATTTCTTATAATTTTTTTAAAAAAAATTAAGTATTTACTTTATAAATTAAATATTTTTTAAAACTATTTTTTCAAAATAAATTAATAATAAAAATTAATTTTAAAAAAAATCTTACTAATCATTCTTCTTAAAAAATAAAAATGGTGTTAAAAAATATAGCATCACGTGTAGCTTACGCGCGGGGAGTTGAATTTAGCATTGTTGCGTTTTTGGTTTGAACCTTACCTTTATTTCTCTATTATGGGAAGAAAAAGAAGAGAAATAAACATTAAAAAAAGATGAAATGATGCTTCGATCCAATTCCATAATCTCAGTACTAAAAGTCAACGCCTTCGGTGGTGGGCCCCACTCCTTTTTTATTTCCTTCATTTGTTGCTTAGTGCTCTCTCCGCGTGTTCATCTCATTGACTGCGTCACCATCGGCGCACTTTCTGCTATCTTGCGCCCCGGGTTTCTATTCCATGCGCCCCACCCCACCATCAAATTGCAGGAAATATAAAAAATATATAATTCAATTATAAAATAAAAAGTCTTTATTATTGGAAAAAGAGTTGTTAAGACCAAATAAGTGAATGAATTTAGCAGAAAATTATTTTAATTTAACATGCAATCTTATCAGAGGTGTTTGAAAGGGAGAGGAAGGCTCACGGGAAGGAAAATGGGAAGGGGAACAGGGGATTACCGAAGAGAGAGGAGAGAATAATAAAAAGGGGGAAGTGGTGGGGTGAAAGGTAAGAGTCGCAAAACTGCACCCTCGCGTGTCTCTCTCTCTCTCTGACTCACACCTTTTTTTCTTTTGTCACAGTCAGCGTGCGTCACTCTGAAATTCATTCCCAATTCCCAATTTCTCAACGCAACACACACTTCTCTCTCAACATTCTCAAACGTCATGGAGGATCTTCCCCAAGGTTACCGTCCCAACGTTGGTGTCTGTCTCATCAATTCTGACGATCAGGTTTCTCTTCTTCCTCTAATCCTCTCTCTCTCTCTTTTTTTTAACTGCTGAATATTAATTAATGTAGTGTGCGTGTGTGTATGAGTGACAGTTATGTCTCTTCGATCTTAAGTTGTCTTATTTATTTTTCTCGATTTTCCATGATATTTCACTTGCATAATTTTAACGGTTTCAAACCTGCAAGTTTTAGTTGTTCTGTTTTCTTCCTTTTTTTTTTTTTTGTTTTCTTCCCGTTTTCTGATTTTAGTTAGTTGGTTACGATTGTTATATCTAAATTCACCAACCAGAAGTTAGGAATAAATATGTTTAAAATTACATAAACCTCTCTCTTCTTTTTTTTAAGTAGTGTTTTCTTTGTCTAGATTTGGAAAATTGGAGTTATTCCTAGGCTGAACTGTGATTCTGTGCTCTGTTCTGTTTTACTTTAAATCCTTGCCGTGATTGATGAGCATTTGTTTTAAAATGACCTTATCTAAAACGTTGTAAAATGCTCACTATTGAACTGGTAATTTTGGATTTAATATTCTGTGATATTTATTTTTTTGTGGATTAGATATTTTACCTTAATGTTCAATGATTTCTTCAGCATTTTGTAGTCTATAATTTTAACCTGTTCTATGAATTAGAGAGGAAGATGTTTGATAGTAAAATACTTTGGTTGCTTTCCACGATGGTACAGTCCTTTTGTTACATGATTATTTTGTGTATGAACAAAGGGCAAACCATGATTTTAATTTTCTTTTTCAGATTTTTGTGGCTTCTAGGATGAATGTCCCAGGAGCATGGCAAATGCCTCAGGTGAGATCACGTTACGTGCTTATACACAACATTTTTTCTTAACATGAGTGCAAGTGACTTGAACATAAAGCTGAAAGAACTTTGATTAGAAGGCATTATGTAGTGCAGAACCTCATTTTTGGAGAGCATCCTGTAGTATTTCTTTTGACATATTCAACAGTCAGGACATGTTGGTTTGACATATCTTTATGGGATTATTAAAAATATCTTCTTGTTATTTCTTGTAATATGTAAATTATTTTCTTCCTCTTTTATGGTATTAAAATTTTCTGCTAAAAGTGAATGTTCTTTTGGGTTCTCAGGGGGGAATTGAAGATGGTGAAGAGCCCAAATCTGCTGCCATTAGGGAACTTCGAGAAGAAACTGGCATAGTATCTGTTGAGATAATTGCTGAGGTTTGTGCAAAATAATTTCTCATTTGGATTTAGTTTCTTCTGCAAAAAAACAGCTAATGTGATGCTTGTAAATAATCCAAGCTCTACAGATCAGTGATATCTTCCAACATTGAATCATTTGAGTTCAAAGTGGTTTTACCATTGTGTAATAAAATGAACAATAACAATTTCTGAGAAGCATGAAACAGAAACACCTGTTATCAAATTCAAGAGAAGCACTTGTGTATTCATTTCTATGATTTGGTACTTTATATAAATAACCCTCTGATCATTTTGATAACAGGGTGGGTTTTAATCTTTTCAAACATTTGACAGAGCTTGTGTATTACAGGTTCAGAAATGGTTGACATATGACTTCCCTCCTGCTGTTAAGGCTAAAGTCAGTCGTGTATGGGGAGGTGAATGGCATGGACAGGCACAAAAGTGGTGTGTATTTTATTTTATTTCGTGTGCAGACTTGAGTGCTATCTTCTGAAAATTTTATCTATAGATCTAAATTTTGGCTGTTTATCACTATATTGAAAAAATGTGACTACCTGATCCAACTCAGATTAGTCAGAGTCCAATATATTAATTCTGGATACCAAGAGTCTAAGACTAAATATGTGACTTATTCCACACAGATTTGTGTTCCCTTCTGCTACACCCCCAAGTGAGAGTCCTGAATGCATTTCTGCTGGGTGAAGGATGAACCGAACTAAGTCAGTTTAGTGTGTCATGCTGGTTAAAACATTCGAAATAGATTTTGCTAACATATTAAATATTTTGCCATCTTAAGCAGGCAAGATGTGTGTCTGAATGAAGAAGCCCTGTACATGGGTGCTAGCATATTAGCTTGAAAATATAGAAAGAAAGATGGATGGTTGGTCTGCCCGACTTTATAAAATGACAAGGAAAAGACAGATCGGTGTGTGAAAGTTTACAACTTCAGTTTTTTTTTTTTTTTTTGTGTGTGTGTGTAGCCGAAGCAGATGTAAGCAAGTGTAAAAGGGTATAAATGGTATTAAAAAATTGACATGATGAAGGTCGAGAAAAAGCAAATGAAAAGCCTGAGTGTGAGTGAGGAGACAATAAAATCCATAGTATATGGAGTTTACATATTGATATTTTTTCTATTTAAATTTGGTGCCTGTGTTTTGTGCTTTTTGGTAATTTGTGTAAATAGTGGTTGTTTGATCAGGAGTTGCAGATTTTGTGCCTGTTTAGTCAACTGTATACTTTAATGTAGATAGGAGAAATCATCCACTTTTCCCAATAGGTTTTTCAGTACTCACGATGGCTATCCTATTTACATATGACATGTCAAGTTAGGTTAAAATATGGCTTAACTTGCAAATGGACGGTGCCCAAACTTACTACTTTCCAGTAATGAGGATGAGATTTGTCTTTTAAGTATCCAGTTCTGATATGAACTGTGTAAGAAAGCCTGTACATTTTGTTGTTTCTTTAATTGAATGTTTTTGTGTGGTTATTCTACCCAAAAAACTATGCTTTTTCTGACATTGATGATGAACATTTGTTAGGTTTCTTATGAGATTAACAAAAGATGACAGTGAGATCAATTTAGCAACTGGTGAAGCAGACCCAGAATTTGCAGAGTGGAAATGGGCAGACCCTGATGAAGTTATTGAGCAGGTTAGTTGGAAAAACAATATTTGAAATGAGTATTGTTTTTCTCCATTTGAAAGACTAATTGCCGATATCTGATTACAGGCGGTTGACTACAAGAGACCAACCTATGAAGAAGTTATAAGAACCTTCAAGCCTTACTTTCAAGGGAATGCTATATCTGCCAAATGTAAATCTACTAAGTGGTGAATGTTATGAGTGTGCATTGTAGTTCAATCCATTTTCTTATCTAATTTCACTTCCTGAGTTTAGATAGCACTCAGCTATTTGTAAATGGATGATAGTTAGAACTACCCATTAGGTACTTGCCGCCTTGTAATAATAAGCTATGTGCAAATGCCTAATTTCTGTTCTAAACCTTGCTGCGAGAATGATTGTGAATGTGTATAGAACTTTTCAGTTAGGATCTCGTGGCAGAACGGTGATAATGACTTCGTGCCAAATAACCAGGAGCAATTTTTATAATACTTAATCCGTCTCTCAGCCTATAAGAGGATCTTCAAAATGCCATTATTATTATTGTATAACTCGCCTTTTTTTTTTTAATGATATTTGAACTTACAGTTAATATATAATTTTGTCTCCCGTCGTAACAACTTGGGATAGTTTAGGATATTTCTGTTTAGGTAAACTTAAAAAGGATAATTTAGATTGGTTAAACTTGTGGAGAAATATTTATAAAAGAAAAAAATTAATATAAAAAAATATTTTTTTTTAATAAATGGGACTAAAAAATTCATAAATAATTTTTTTTTCATAAATTATAAATAAGATATTTTTATTGTACTTTATAAATTAATAGAGTATTTTATGACTTTTCATATGTAAAACAATTATTATTATTAGTTATGTATTAATAGATAATAGGGTTAATAATTTATTTAAAAAAGACATAAATATCTTTTAATTTTAAGATATTAAAAAAATTATAACTTTTAATTTAGAGAAGATGCGTAGTATCTTCTTAAGTTTATTAACACCATAATAAGTATTTAAAATAATTTATCTTTTTAAATTTTATAGAAATTAAATAATTTTTTTTTTTGAAAAATAACAACTATAAATTATTTTTAATTTATGAATTATATAAACACAAACTCATTCTTGGAAATTAAATTATATAACTATACTTTATAATATATATATATATATATATATATATATATATCTTTTATAATAAGATTGATGATGTCATAACCTGAGTGTTTTGATTGATTTTATTGAAATATGTATTTGAAGATTATATGTGTCTTTTGGTTTAAATGTAATTTGTATACGTGTAAAAGAGTAGTTCCTAATTCCCATTCGTGTAATCTCTATTTGCCCTTGTGTACATGGAAAACGGTTGGGTTGCAGATGTAGTTGGTTGTCCATATTTTATTTCCCCTCATGTGCAGGAAATGTTTTGTGTACTAGAAGCAACAGTTTCAGGTGCTTTCTTTTTCTTCTTTATAATTAAGTATTTTTAAGATTTATATATATGCATAAAAATTAAAAGTAAATGAGAGATAAAAATAGTATATATTATTAACTTTTAGTTGTCCAAATAACCAAACTAACATGTGAAACAAACCGTATGCCCAATGCTGGTCCTCCTCTAAACCGTGAACGTTTGCTTTGCTACACTTATTCTAGTCTGATTTTTGTGAGGAAGCAAATTACATAGACCAATGAGAAAAAAAATTAATATATAATAAAACTTCTCCCGTGCAAAGCTCTCCTTTTGAGTTTCCAAAATTAATTCATGTGCTCAGTAATTTTTACTCTTCTTAATTAATTTAATTCAATATACATGACAAAAAGAATTATTTAATCATCACTTAAAGTGATATTTAAAAAATTTATAAAAATAACTAATAAAAGTTAAAGAATAAAATAAATTAAAAAAATAAAAGTAATAAATTAAAATACTAATTTTGCTTATTTTTTATTTCCTGGCTTGGCAACAGCTAAAGAGTACGAATCCCCACCCAAACTCCCATTTTTGCGCAGCGATAATTTTGCAGTTCATTTTCTGTCTCAGATTTTCTTCCTCACCGGTGTGGTCCGTTACTCACACTTTCGAAGCAACGCTTTACAACATTGCAATGGTAATTTCTAGGTTTTATTTTATATTTACATACACTTCATTCCCTTCAACTTCCCAAAAGTTGAAAACTCTTCACTCTTTCTTCTCAGTGTTTGTGTGGCAAGCAACTAAGAAGTGTTGTAGTCTTGCAAGGAACATTTCTCAGTGGAAGAATGAGGTACGTGGCATTATACAAATAGTTACGATGGCCAAAGTTGAGGCTTATTGTTTCGGCGCTTGTTTTTTGCAGGTATTGTAATTTTCTACCTTCGAAAATGTGTTACCGCCTAAAGCATAAGTTCGCAGAGAACAAGTTTGTGAGAGGTGAAAGAAGCGGTTCCAAGTTGCGGAATAAGGTAGAAATTCGGAATACAGCCGTATGTTGTGTTTGATCAAAATTTCAATTAATTGAATATTTTTGCTTTCATGTAATTGGTTTTTTACTATTTCAATTTGTTGTTATGTTTAATTGGCATTGAGGTTTGTAACGTAGATTGATTCTTACTGGCGGAGAGCGATTGGTATCGAATGTATAATGGCATGACCTATGGCTATTGGAAGTTCAATGGCTTGTTTTATGAATCTTACGTATATGTGTATATATATATTCTTTGATTGATTGCAGTTGGACATTATTTTTGTAGTACAATGCTTTGAATGTATGGCCAGATAAAAAAAATAGTGATAATTTGGTTAAAGATGCGTATTGATGCCCATATAAATGTGACATTGATTGAAATTCATTATATTTACAGGTATTTGCTCTTATGGATTATAACCTTCCTGACCTAATTGGAAATGGAAGGGGTGAAACGAAATCTGAAATGAGTATGAGAGATGCATTGGATGATTTGGAGATCTCCTTGATATGTAAGAGATTTCCATCTATTACTTTGGGTACCGCTCCTCAAGTGGATTTATATGATGGGACCGTGTCATGTTCTGAAACGACAAACTCTTTAGCAACAGAAACTTTTGAACATTATTTTTCTGATTCTTCAGAGGCAAGGTGGGTGCAAAGCACTCTTTCTGAGGCATTTCCTTCTTTGTATGTCAATGATTCTAGTGTAGCATCTTCCACATTAAGAGAAGAAGATTCTTGTCAGTTGCCGCCTCATTCAGTGTCTTCAATGTATGAAGAAAAATTGGATCAAGTAACTGCAGAAGATTCTAAAATGGAAGTGGGGATGCAGTCACAGTCAAACCTTACACCCAATGAGTTATTGCTTGACAAATCTGTAAGTTGCATACCTGGATTAACTAAGAGGCAATGCCGACAGCTAGAAAACTGTGGGTTTCACACGGTGGGTTCCCAAATCTGTGGACTTTGGAAAATGTGTAGTTCTTTGGATTTTCAGCTTTGAAAAGTTGGCTTGGATTAACATTGATCCCACATTCTTTAAGTGTAGTTACGGAAGTTGCTGCATCACTTTCCTCGATCATATGCCAATCTGCAGAATGCACATGCTAAAATTGATGACGGGCAATATTTGATTTTTGTTGGAAAAGTCTTATCCTCAAGGTGATGGCCCTCTATTTCATTTATTGACATGATTTATTCATGTTTGTATCCTTTTCTCTTGGCATAAGTTCTCTGGGTGCTTGCTTGGTCACTTGAATGAGTGTGTGGGTAATATGCTTTTAGCTACTGGATTTTCAATATCTTAACCATTGGCAATTTAATATTTTTTATGGTGATAAGTTTTAGTTTTTTTTTGCAGGGGTATCAAAGCTAATTGTTCATTTTCATTTCTTGAGGTGATTGTGGGATGTCAGATTGCAGAAAGTGAACCTGCTTCTGAGCATGTGACTAGTGATGCTAGTGATGTGCAGGAGAAGACAATTTATTTGCATCTGAAGAAATTTTTTCGTGGCTCACGATTTACCTTTAAACCTTTCCTTAAAAGCCTAGCAGAAAAGTATCAAGAGGGAGATGTAGCATGTGTCAGTGGGAAGGTGAGTTTGTTCTACTCACCCTCCTCCCCAAACCACATTTTTTTTTTTTAAATTGTTATAAGTTGTATTGCAAGTTTTTAAAATGTGGAGGAATTGATATTTCCTCAAGTCGATGGAGGATATCATAAATGTGAATCTTGAAGACGATAATAGGCTTTCCACACAAATGGACTGTGAAATAAGCAACTATATTCCATTCTTTGTATGAGAGTGAGTTTGACTCATTTTTGTTTGCCTACCTCAAAATAAGAAACTTTCTTTAAAGCATTGAAAACTTTATTATTTAGGTACCATTGGGAAATATAACTTCCCCTATTGTCCCATAGCCAGTCTTAAGCCCAGGTAAAGGAGGAGGGTTGTGTTAGGTCTTCGACAGCCAATATAAAACTTATCAAAACTTTTTACATGAATTACACACGTACCATTAGGGAAATAGAATGAATTGATAAGACCTAGGAGTCATGGTTTGATTAATTCAATTGGCAAATTGGTTGTTGAATTGGACACCATAATAAGGATAGTTGGAGCTGAATTACCATTTTAATTGGTGTCCAGTTCCTTAGTTGAAGGGGAGCCTCATAAGAAACTTGCTTAGAAGAATTATAGATAGAGTGAGTGAGATGTCTAAGTACAAAAGAAAGTTCGAACAATACACATTCCTTTGTCACTTATAGTAAATATCATAGAGTAAAATAAATAGTAGTATAATTATTACATGCCACAATGAAAGTCTATCAGCCTTTTATTATGTACCTAGATCAGGTAAGCCTCACTACAAGACATAGCAAGGGCTAATAATGGTACTTATAGATGGCGAAGTCTACCAACAAGAATTCTTTGTGTCTAAGATTAAAGGTAGTTGGTATAAGGAACTAAATTTTGGAATAATTCACTCAATGACATGGCATTAAAATCTTTATTGCTATTAAAAAATGACATGGCTTAATAAATCCTGCAAGTGTTATTATAAAGGGAGAAAAGTTATTTACTCTATCTCGGTATTAATCATTGGAGACTTTTAATTTTTAACTTGAATAAACAGCATTATTTTGGATTTTATGAGATAAGATTTGATTGTTGTCCCTGTTTTGCAACACGGGTGTGTGCACGCATGTACTCACTAGTTAGGGCTTTAATTGGTAATAAACTAACTTGAAATTCTTAAATAATTTCAGCTTAGTTGAGGTCCTGCACCATTTTGCTCAAACACAAAAGGCTTAAATCCAAAATGTTTTCTAAATTAAAAAGAGGAATAGTGTGTTAGGTAACACCCATTTATCATTAGCTATGATATTAGTTAGGAACTCATTAGTAAGCTAGTTTGCATAAGGCATGTTGCCTATAAATAAGAGGGGAGATTAGAGAGGATGGGGAAGGTGATTTGTAAAAGGAAATTGGGGCCTTCATGGCATTGGGATGTGCAGACCATCGAAGTTCTACATTGTGTGTTTTGTAATTGGAGTTCATTCCTAATTCTTCTTAATAAAATACCTTGTTTCTATCATAGTGCTTGTGATCAAAGGATGGAGAGAGAGTGATCAAGAAAGGAAGTTGATGAATTAGTGACAACTGACAACTAAGCACTTTTGTTATGATGGAGTCATGCTATGGTTGGCAATTTACCCTGTTGTTTGGGGATCCTTGAGGGGACTGCCCCATTTGAGTTTGGGGATTTTTACCCTTTGGGATGTTGATCATATTCCTTGACCAGCAAGGTCCTCAAATATTTAAAAATAAAAAAACCATCCTTACTTTTATATTTGTTAAGATGAGAGAAAACAAAAAGACATGTTAGGAATTTCATGTGTTTTAACTACATCACGGGATGGATATTTATATTAATAACAAGAATCGTAATCATAATTATAAAATTAAAGACAAATATATGGTTATCTAATTACTATAATTATATAGATACTATTTCTTTAAATAATATATTTACATATATTTAACAATATTCATACACACATACATGCAAATGAAAATTTAGTGTTTTTCTTAATAATTAATATATAATATATTTTTAATATTTTCCTTAATATAATTTAATATATTAACTTATATTTTATAATTTTAAATTATTAAAAGGGATAATATTTATTAATTTTTCATTAATTATTGTTGAAAGAGAAGAGATTGAGAGACATTGAGTGAAATTTGTACGTGTTTGATATACAACATAGAGCTTTATTTATAATTACAAGGTAACAATTATAAAATATTCTATTACATATTTACCATAAATAACACTATCTAATGTAATAAATAAATATTTCCTATTTATTTACAATTATTCTCAGCAATTATTATTATTATCATTATTATTTTAATGTGAGACCTTTTGTGGATCCATGAAGAATTGAGAAATGGGGATAGGGAGAAAAATTATCCTAAGCTGGGGAATGGAGAACATTGAGGATGCATGGATGGGGGGCAGGGTCAGGGAGGCACTCCTTGCCTTGCATGGGTGACATCCCTTGGCATGTTTTTAAATGTTTCGCTGAAATTAATACGATTTAAGTAACAAAAAAGGACAAGATAGATTAGCAGCTTAGGATTGTAGGATATTAAATTGATGTGGCGCATTGTGATATGTTATGTAAAACAAAGCACTAACTCCTGTTTATACTAGGAATTAGATTAAGCTCACCCTAACCCAATCCCTTAGAGTATGATAGTCTTATTTTCATGCTTGCACAAGGAAAAGAAATCGTTTTCCTTCAGTTATACATGAATATTCTGTTCTAATTTGATTTTAGAAATTTGTAAGACTGTACATGATTTTGTTGCTTCTTAAAGTAGGTCAAGACTATGCGTGCTAAAGATCACTATGAGATGAGAGAATATAATATTGATGTGCTTGAAGATGGAAAAGATTTATCCTTTTTTGCTAAAGAGAGGCCATATCCTATCTACCCTTCAAAAGGACGTTTGAACCCAATTTTTCTTAGGGACATTATTACAAGGTTTGTGCTTCCAAATTCTTGAATCTTATTTGTAAATTTAATTTGTTTTATAAAAATTTTATTGTTTAAGAACAATTAACTACTCAACTTGTTAACAATGTTAGAATGGTTCATGAATACCACTTAATTGTTTGATTTTTTAAATGTTCCCAAATAGTAGTATTTATGGGGAAGAATATTTTCACACTAGTGTAAATCTAAAAACTCTTACATCGATCTGAATTTTTTATTTACTTTACATCTAACAGTCAGTAAAGTAATAAATTATAACTCTTTATATGTAAGTTAAATGAAAGACTCAAATTGAGTGTAAAAGTTTTTAGACTTGCACTAGTGTAAAAAGATCCTATCCCATATATATATATATATATATATATATATATATATTTTAAATCTTCAATATATAGTTTGAGGATGCTTTTTTTTTCCAGAGTTATGATCAATAATTCCTTCTCCTGTTAAGGATTAATTTATGCTTCAAAATACTAAATTAGTAGCTATTGATTTTTGCTTCTTAGAGAAATATGTCTTATGACATGTGGATGTTTTTTATTCAACTCTTACATGTTACTGCACCACATGATTGGGCCACGAAGGAGTAGTTAGTTTGAATTGTTTATTTATATATAGATAGATAATTTTTTCATATTTATTTCTTTTTTTTCTAATATTTTTTTTTGAAGAAATTCTAATTTTTTCTATTTTACAAACTATCAAAATAAAGTAGCAAATTTATTCATACAATATCGAATTTGAATTTTTTTTACTTCTTTCTTTTTTTTAGAAATTCTTCAGTTATATAAAAGAAAAAACCATTTTCGATTTGACACTAATAAACACTATTTTTGTGTTGGTATTGGTTGTTCATCAATTTATTTCAGTTCAAAAATTTGTTAAATTCAATTGTTGTTAAGATTTTGATTAGATGAGACTAAATGTGGACTAAAACTAAATTTATTGATCATTACATAGAATTCAATTAAGATATTATTATGAAAATTGGATTTCTTCTAAGTTTTGAGGGGTTGAAGGTTTTAGAGATAGGGAATTGAGTATGAGAGAGTAGAAGAGGGGCATTAAAATTAGTTAGCATTTGGGAATTGAGTAGTAGCTTTGTTGTAGAGGGGAAGGGAAACACCTTAAGCACTCCTCCATTTTATCTATCCATCTTGAATCCCATAATTTACATCTCCCTCTATAATCCCCATTGCTTTGTATGATAGATTCAAGATACTTGAACTATGAGACTTGATATGTCCAAGTAAGTGCTAGTGTGCGTCTTGCTGAACATGCATTCTATATATCCTATTTTACTTATGCTCAATCGGACTGAGTCATTCAATTCCAAAGCTTTTTTCCATGCTTGGCTGCTAATGTGGAAATTTAGCATGTTCATTTATTTCTATTTTGAGATTCAATTTATATAGTAAGAAGTTTGAGTTGTACCAATCCTCTTATCTGATGAGAGGAAATAGAATTCCTTGTAACAATTTGTACAACATATTATTCTTTCATTTCTTCCAGGGGTTTACAAGCATTGCCTTTCAATGTTGATCCCATTCCTAAGGATATCACAGAGCAATTTGGATTGTTAAGTCTTCATGATGTAAGGATCTCTATCTTTAGAATTCTCTATTGATGAAATTATTTGACATAAGCCTACCTGCCATAAGAAAATCTGACTCTTGACACATACTTGGCAATACAGACTTTTTGTTTGCAATATACATCTATGCCTGCTTATGAATTGTAGAAGTGTTGTATTTGGGGGAATTTAAATTATTGGGTGAGAATAAACAAATACAGAGAAAGAGGAAACAAGTCATCTTCAAGAAACCAAGGATTGGAAAATAAAAGAAAAAAGTGCATGGGCTCTTATAAATAAAGTTGCAGTGACCAGTTATGTACTTTATATTTTAAATCTTTCATATATTTGTCATCTTTCTTTCACATTTAACTGTGTTGTCTAGGAAAAAAGTTCCTCCTTATATTTTGGGGAGCAAATTTGATTTTTGAAGCACAAGTGCACAATGAAAGGGGAGGAGATGGGCTAGATCTGGTGGTTGTGTTTATTTATGATGTTCTGATTTTTCACAATTTAATTGTAGTTTTAATATGGTTTTTCTACTAGAAATTTCACTTAATGTCCATTTGGTGGACTAAATTGAGCATAAAATTGGGGCTTGCAATTAGAATTAGACCTTGGAATTGTAATTATGAACTTGGAAAATGTTTCAGAACTGGAGTCCACGGTCCAATTTCATGGAATTCTAATATAACTAAAACTAGAATTTCCTAATTTCTACCCCTTACTTTCTAACTTACAATTCCTAACCTCATCCTCTCACTGTTTAATTGTTCTCCCTGCTTTTTCATCCCCTCCACCACCACCTCTAGTTCATTACTATCACCATTATTGTTATTTCTGCTGCACTAACTACCACTATCATCACCATCCCCACCATCATCAATCCCTGTTGCTGTTGTTATTGCCACCATCACCCCCTTGTTGTTTCACCACCATTACCAGTGCTGCCATCCCTTCACCCCACCACCATCAAATATTGTTGCCATTGGTATTGACACCACTCCCTCACCCTCTTGACCACAACTAATGTTGCTTCCACTACCACTAAACCTTTGCATTACTGTCACCATCACCACTAATGGAATTTTTTTCCCCTCAAAATTTATGTGATCCCATCCATGACTACCCTGAATTATGGGTGACAAATGGAATTAAATTTCAACATAGAATTATGATTCTACACTGTAAATCTTTGCACAACTCAAACATAGGAATCCTTCCCAAATAACTCTAATTTATTGGAGTTATCCCTGAGTGCATTTTGTATAAGGGCTAGTCAAGGACTAATTGTCTAGCTAATAAACAACCTTTATTTGCAGTAGTAGCCATACTTGACTAATACTCTAGCATGTGCTTGTTAAAATAATAAAGTCTCATATTGGTGGATTTACAACAAATCAAAGAGTCATGAATCTAAATTGCCTAAGGCATTTTAAACAAACAAATCACTCAAGTTTTAAACTCTTCCAATCTTGAATTGGGCCCATATTCAAAATTCTAATATGGTATCAAAGTCTAGGTCCAAAAAAAAAACAAAATGAAAGGCCTAAAATTTAAAAAAAGGGTCAAGCAAAAAAAGAAAAGAAAAGAACTGTAGCATTAAGAAAAATTACAAGAAAAAGGAGCACAAGTTCAGTCAGTAAAAAAGAAAAAGACTTGTGGTAGAGGCTCAAACTTGAAGTAGAAGTCAGACTATAAGAAAAAAGTTAAAATACAAGTCTAACTAGGCTAAAGCTAGTTGGACTTTAGGGAGAGTGTTAAGATAATAAAGTCTCACATTGGTGGATTTAAAGGGTATATATAAGCAAGAGGGTCATGAGACAAACCACTCAAGTTTAAAACCTACTCTCCCTGAATCATGGATCAAGCCCACATTCAAATCCTAATAGTGCTCATGTGTCAATGAACTTAAACTATCCATGCCATTGTCTGACTTTGTTTCACAAGGTTAGACAATGAGTAAAACAGCTACCTAGTAAAGATGTGAAATGCTTGACTTAAAGGAACTTGAAAACAAAATGAGCAGGTCAATTAGCCATTCTTGCCTTAACCTACGAAGGATTTCTAACTTCCTCAATCCTCCAATATTAATACTGTTATTAATGCACCTAGTCTTTTACATCTCTCTGTTTAAACTGCACTTGTGAATTGGGACTAAAATTCTCTAATAAATGTGCTAAACTGGGTTTTTGTGCTTTATGCTGTTCTGTGGTGTCTTTGGTTGGAGTGGATTGAGGAATGCCCTTATCTATGGTCTGTTTCCCTAAAAAAAAAAGCTGTTTCGTTCCTATTTTCTGAAACTTCACTCTATCTGGTTCTGCATATTTTCACTGAAATTTCAAATTATGTTAACAATATAGGCATATTTTGGAATCCACAAACCGAAAGATATAAATGAAGCTGATTTGGCTCGCAAAAGACTCATATTTGATGAGTTTTTTTACCTACAGGTGAGGTGATCATTTTATGTCAGATTTTATTTGCTATATCTTCTATTGGTAATTATAAAAAAATCCTTGTATTGCTATCGTTTGAAGCCTCTATTTGGTTATGTGATTTCATATATATGATCATTTCTTCCAGTTATCAATTTGCAAGTTACCAACAACCATTTTTGGTGTTGTGTATAGTTTCCTTTCCCTTGTTAACAAGTGCTATTTAAAATATTTTGGTTGTTGTAGCTTGGTCATTGATTAGTTCATGGTGTGGCTGTTAAATTTAGAATTGTTTCTATTGGATTGATAAAAATTTAAATGAGGTTGACAGCTTTTAAGCATAAGCTTTATCTTGTTCAGGATTTCTCAAATGCTTTTGACTTATACTTCTGGCATATTCTATGCTGAGCATGTTTATTGTGCAGTAATTGTTTGACCTTTTCACCAGTGATATATTGCTGTCTTTATATGCTTTAATAATTTTTTTACTTAACCTAACTTTATGTCTATTCTGTCCTTTGTCAGTTAGGACGCTTGTTCCAAATGCTCGAAGGTCTTGGTACACAAATAGAAAAGGATGTATTGCTAGATAAGTATAGAAGACCCAAAAATAATGCTGTGTGTACAGAAAAATGGTCGTCTCTCACCAAGATGGTTTTGGAGGTCCTTCCATATACTCTTACTTCTAGTCAACTGCATGCTGTTTCAGAGATTATTTGGGATCTAAAACGACCAGTTCCAATGAATCGGCTTCTGCAGGTTTGGATTTTTATTCTGTATTGCTTTACTATCATCATATTTATACATTATTCCACTCACTTGTAACGGCTTATTATTGCTTGTTCTTCCTATCAATAAAATAGGTAACAGTAGAAATCAGGCATTGTGAAACAAGCTTCCATAAGTTGACCCCAAACTTTCAACAAAGAGAGGACAAACGTAGATGCCCAAACCCCAAACATTTAACAAATCCCTCATAAAGGAGATCTCTTGTTAAACATTTGAGAATTATGCTCCAAACTTATGTATCAAAGTGTAGAATCAATGTCAGAAATTTGGTTAAGCTGGCTTTATCACTCATTTTAAGTATTGGGGAGTTGATAAAAAGTCTTTTTGAAAATAAAAATGTAAACTACAAATCAAAAAATATATTTACATTTCTCTTGTTTTCTCACACTTTTGCATCCAAATTCCTTTTAAGGAGCAATAAACTAACAGCTTGAAAGAGTTAACATGTCAAAGTTGACATTATTGAAAACAAAAGCAGTCACGCAATGATCAGAATGGACAATGTAAAGCTGCCACATGCCAAATTTGAGTCACAACTTTAGGGATATCCTGCCTTTGAATTCCACCTTATGAGGACACAAAGAGAGCATACTTCTTTGGTCTTTCTAGAATTGATAGGCTATGTTTTGATAGACCGTTAGTGCATGGATTTTGTGAAGTAAGTAGGATGATAGTCTCCCAAGAATTGTGTAACTTAGTGCCAAATATTTGCAATTAAATTAATTATACGAATACACTCAATAAATGAGATAAAATTTACAAAATATGAAAAAGAAAAGGAAAGAATTGGAGAACACAATTTCAATGGGATAAATTCAAATTTTAAGAAACATTTAGGAATTAGTTTTACTCTAAATTAGAATTGATGAACTCAACCCATTAGATCTTTTATTTATTCTTGATTTATCTTAAAAGTGAATTATCTTAAGATGATTATTGTTGCCTTTTAGAATGTAATATTGTATTTAATCAAAATAACTCTTCCTTTCGTGATAATTATATTTAATTAAACCCATTAATATTTGTGATTTTGGAATTTCTCAAGAAACTTAGTTTCATTTCATGATCTAAATAATCTCTGGTTCAACCTTGAAGTTTCGTCAAAAGTTTATTTTTCAGCCATTCCTTAATGATTAATATCCAGCAAATAAGGAGCCCAATAAATTGCCAAGCATTAAAACACCAAGAATTGAATCAATAAAATCAAGATTAACAATAGATCATAAAATATTCAAAACATCATTATTAATTCTTATTTGGGTTACTCCCAATTACTAGAACATAAAAACTACTTGATTATGTTTTGATTAGCCATAAGCCCATAACTACAAATTTAAACATGGGGACAAATAAGATCAAGCAAGAATGAAGAAGGAAATAAGGAGAAACCCTAGGCTTTGCCCTCAGAAACACGTTGCTCAAGTAGATTCCATGAAGATGTCTTCAAGAATCTTCCTTCAAGTCTCCACTTTCACTTTGATCCTGTAGAAAGGGTTTTTGACAGATTGCTAATGGTGTGGAACACCTAGGATGTGTTTCTTTTATTAGGCTTAAATATCCTTGGGCTTCAAAACTGCATTTGACCTATCAATTTTTGCTGAGACTGAGACAATTAAAAATGCACCAAGGGGTACAAAACATTGCCATGTTTTGAAAAAAAGCCTGGTTGTTTCCTCTGCATTAGAATTCTTGTCTTATGTTCTTTCCTTTCTTTGTGAATTTTTCTTTCACCAAAACAACCAAATAAATAAATTAAATCGTTATGACAAGCAAGCCTAATTTGTGATTCTTACCTGATCTTGATCATTCTTTTCTTAAAGTAGTTTACACACTAGAAGGACTCTACGTAGTTTTAGCTCGTTTTCTTGTAAATTTTACATGATTCCTGGTTTGTTTCCTCCAATGTTGATTTTTCTCTTATTTATTCATTAAAGAATTAATATTCTGTCTAAATTGAAGCATTTTTTATTGATGTGCTGTAGTCACTCGAAGCATGATATGTTCTCATTTGATGTTATCTTGTGACACTTTAAGGGTGATGTTGGATGTGGAAAAACTGTTGTAGCTTTTCTTGCATGCATGGAGGTTATTGGCTCTGGCTATCAGGTTGGTCACTGCTTCTTAATTTGCTTCCCTTTTGTTTGTGTATTTATATCCTTGATTTCTCTCATTAGATTCATGGATGTATAGCATATGGCAGTTGTGATTGCAGGGCTTGTTTGTTATCATTCAGGGCTTTATGCAATATAAAGAAGTTAACATTTAATGTATGTTAATGTTAGGTTTTCTTGTCTCATGATAGGCTGCCTTCATGGTTCCAACCGAGTTACTTGCAATCCAGCATTATGAACACTTGCTTAATTTGCTTGAAAAGTTGGATGAGTTCATTGGCAAGCCAACTGTTGCTTTATTAACAGGTTCGACCCCACTAAAACAAACACGGATGATTCGTAAGGTATTTTCTTTTTTAAATTATTGTATAAAAAGGATCATCTGAACTGTTTGAATCCAGTTATTCTTTTCTTGAACCTGTATGGTATTCTTATAATTTTCTATTATAATATTACAGGGTATTCAGACTGGAGAAATCTCGATGGTCATAGGAACCCACAGTTTGATTGCAGAAAGTGTGGAATTCTTAGCCTTGCGCATTGCTGTGGTGGATGAGCAGCATCGCTTTGGTGTGATTCAAAGAGGAAGGTTTAACAGTAAGGTGGTTCACATCTCTTTGTACAGGATTTAAATATGGTTATATTATGCACACACAAATGCTCATAATGCTCAGTTGGGTAGATTGGAGAAGTATAGGTAACTGTGGTAAACATTCATGTTATGGCTTTTGTTTAATTTATATCTTCCTTGCCATTGCAAATTTCATCTTGCATATAGGTTATGTTTTTATCCACATAAGTCATGTCTTCATTGCTCCTTTTTTTCTTTTTTCTAAAATATTTGATAATGTTATTGTGGTGGTCTCCTAACTTTTGTCTTTTAGTTATATTGTGCATCTCCAAACATGGAAGATGCCGTTACAGATGAGTCCTCAAAGAATGATGGTTCCATGGCTCCGCATGTTCTTGCAATGTCTGCTACTCCTATTCCAAGGACACTTGCACTTGCTTTATATGGTGATATGTCATTGACACAGGTACTTACTTTTTTGTGTTTATGATTTTGATTCATTTCCCCGCTCCGCCCCTCTAGATATGTATGTCTCTTTTTCCTTGAATATGTTTGAATGATATTTTACACCATGAAATAAAGGGGGTCCACAACTAGGTGAGAACACTTCACAAATTTCATGAAAGATATTTTATGTTGACTAATTCACTTTGGTTTGTTTTACCAAATTTCACAATTTAATGTGTAAAATCATGTTCTGTTGCAAATGTTTTCTTCTTTGTCTTCTCCAATCACAGATAACTGACTTACCTCCTGGAAGAATTCCTGTTCAAACATTTACCATTGAAGGAAATGACAAAGGATTTGAGGATGTCTACAAGGTAACCATCCTTTTAAAAATGTACTTCTTTATATCTTTATCATTTTTTCCCCTTCAGTATTTTCCCTATTTTAAAGTAATTGCTAATTTCATAATTCAGGCATTGAAATCTAGATGATAACCTTTCAATAAGCCTCTTTATGACATGCTAGTAGCATCTACCTTCTAGATGAAGATGGAGCATTTCTGTCTCTCACATGCAATCAGATTTTTTAATTTGGATTCCTCACTTCTTTAAACCTTTTCAAGGAAAACAGTATAAGTTTGCTGTTAAAAAAACTTGTATTTGTGTTAGAACCGTTCTTATGAAAAAGAGCGGAGAGAATGAAAAAGATAGAATACATCAAGCTTTAGTTTGTATGCATTTAGTTTCATTTTTTGAACCTATAGAAAAAAATAGTTATGACTAAATACTGACATATTGTATTGTATTGAGAAATATATCATTCTGTCAATTGACTAGCTCTCAATCAGCTTCAGATGTGTTCCATGTCAAATTGTCAATAAGATTAAAACAAGGAGTTATTTTGTTCTTTTTTTTTCTTATGATGTTCTAAATGGTGTTTCTATGACAGATGATGCTGGATGAATTGGAAGATGGGGGGAAAGTTTATCTTGTCTACCCAATTATTGAACTTTCTGAGCAGCTACCTCAGCTTCGTGCTGCTTCTGCAGATCTTGAAGTTATATCATGCCGGTTTCAAGGATACAATTGTGGCTTATTACATGGAAAAATGAAAAGTGATGAAAAAGAAGAAACTTTAAGAAAGTTCAGGACTGGAGAAATACATATACTACTTGCCACTCAAGTAATTGAGATTGGTGTTGATGTTCCAGATGCATCTATGATGGTTGTGATGAATTCTGAAAGATTTGGAATTGCCCAATTACACCAGCTCAGAGGGCGAGTTGGACGTGGATCAAGGCCATCAAAATGTATACTAGTAGCATCAACTGCAAGTAGCCTAAATCGTTTGAAAGTACTAGAGCAATCATCGGATGGATTTTATCTGGCTAATATGGACCTTTTATTGCGGGGACCTGGTGACTTGCTTGGAAAGAAACAATCTGGACATCTTCCTGAGTTTCCTGTTGCCAGATTGGAAGTTGATGGAAATATTTTACAAGATGCACATGTGGCTGCACTGGTATTTATTGAATAACACCCTCTAATAGTTATTGTGTTGTTTACGAGATTTATCTATTAATTGTTTTTATGGTGATTTGTTACTTTTAATTTCATTGCTATCCAGTTAGTAACTTGCTAAACTGCATGTTTGGTTCAGCACATTTTAAAGATATAATCACTTATTTTTGCAACTCCTTGAGAGAGATTTTGAAAGTAAATGCTATTGTTTCCCCAAATGGTATACCAAACATGTGCTAAATATCACGAATTTTCCATGGCTTTTTTGTTCATATGATTTTGATTCTGATTTTTGTTGCTGTTTTATCACGTTAATTATTTTATGTTACCATGAAACCCTCCCAAAGTGTGACTAATGGGGGATACTGAGCATCCATACCACTTTATCCAAGGGTTCTAAGTTCTGTCTGTTGATAGTACTTTTTCTTAGGATTGTGACTTTGTGATCTTCCTACCTACACATTAGTTTATATCTTCTAGTTAACCACTTAAAAAGCATTGTTTGCATTGCATCTGGAGCTCCTTTTCTGGTTCAATATTTATTGTTTCTAACTTTGTATTAAAGTTGGTATTCTGTACGGTTAAAAATTTTACAATTATTTTTTTTATTTAAGATGTATTTGTTTTCATGTGATAAGTTACCATGATTATGAGCATGTATTGAGAAATGAAGACTTCATAAAAAACTAACATTTCAAGTGCACTAAACAAAAACATATAAGCGGTAATCTTAAAAATAAAGAGAGAAGGATAGAGATGAGTGTCTGAGGATTCATGCTGGTTCACCCTTCTCTGTGTGGACTATGTCCAATCCCTACCAAACTTTGATTGTATTTTCACTAAGTCAAGTGTTATTTACAACTTCTTCAAGCTTTACAACCGAGTATTCTTTTTTTACACATTCTTGCTAGACTCACATCGAGTATGCTTTGTTAACACAACCACTTGAGTGAACATACCTTTTCATAGTGTTCTGCAGAACTTGCTAGCTCACTGCCTCATAATTTTCTGTAGAAGAGCGAAGAGTTTAAATGGATAGTTCTTGGAAACACTCGAGTGGATTCCACATGGAAAGGGGCTAAATGAAACAACTACAAAATGCAACTGATAGTTAATTGAATGAACAATGTAGGTAGTGGAGAGGAGAGAGGAGTTCAGGCTTGGATTTTATTGTTTTGTTGTTTTTCTGCTTCCCTCCTTACTGTTTGTTTAGGAAATTGTATGCTGATCAGGTCATTAAACTTTTGGTAGTCTTTTATTTGTTTATTTATTTTGCTTCCTTTGACGTGGGATTCGATTCCAAGTCCCATTGCCCATTATAAGAAAGTTTACCTGCTGAACTAATTTATGCAAAATTTCAGTAGATCTAGTGATAATGCTATTCCTTTTAAATTATGACAATAAAATAATCTCCAATTGTCCAAAAATGACTGACTGCAGAAAATTTTAACTGCGTCCCATAATTTGGAGCAATTTCCAGCACTTAAATTGGAGCTTAGCATGAGACAGCCACTTTGCCTACTAGGTGATTGAATCTTGCATGTGGTGTTCAGAAGTTTACCGTGCTCACTGTGATAATTTTGACACTGTAATTAATTTCATGAGCTCTTTATTTTTTATTATGTAAACACGATATAGCCTTTGGGCCAATGTTAATATCTTGTAAGTTCTTTATTGCCTTTTTACCTTGTTTTGGCCATGATGCTTCCTTGTAGCAATTTTTGCAATATTAACGTCTGACAAAGCAATGCACCAATTTTGTTTTAAAACAATAAATCATAAAAAAAAAAAAAAAAATCTTCCAAAGCTTACTCGTTTATTTTTACTTCTCTATATCTTCAGTGTTATTTCGTTTTCTTTTTTTTCTTTTGTTTAACCTTTTGAATTTGCATTCCATTTGAGGACGCATGTGATCAAGAGTGTATAGCATTTCTTATAGCAAGTGCTCTAAAATGTTCCTTCAGTTGGTTCCCATATTCAAAGCATTGTAAAATCAATACTAGGGATGGTAACGGGGCAGGGCAGGTACTAGGCCCCCGTCACCTGCCCACGTGGATGCTCGTCATACCCGTCTCTGCTTTATTTAAACCGGTTGGGTATCAGTATAAGCATTTCACACGGATTTAAATGAATATCTACAGATATTTGTGGATATCTATATCTGCGAATTCACTAAAAATTGTAAAAAAAAAGTATAGTGTGTATAATTATAAAATTTAAACGTAATACCTGAATAATGATAAAAATATAGTATATAGTAATAAAAATTTAATTATCATCACAACAAACTCAACCAAATCTATTAGTTAACATAATCATAGGCAAGTTTTAAAGCTATAAAAAATCAACACTTAACCTCATTGAAAATATATAATACAACATTTAACCATAGCAAATATAATAACTACTCCAAATACAAAACATAATTGTAACAATAATGTGCATTTTATAATTCACGAAGTAGTAATTCAAGTAGCATCAGGCGCATTACTTTCTTCCTATAAAATAAAAGTAATATAAATAATATGAGAAACATATTTTTGTGAAAATTTTGAAACTAAAATTATGAAAATATACTAACATCAACACTCGATCTTCTACAATTGTGTCACATGTCAAGTCTGTAATTGCATTAGAAGAAGAACCCTGAAAAAGAAAGCATAAATTAGTTAAAGTTATCAATTGTTATTGCATATATTCTTACATATAAAGTTAAAATGAGAAAATTTTACTACCTTTGACATCATTTCATAGTCAATCTTGGGTACACATCAATGCCTCTAATGTGTTAAAGCTAAATTTACTAAGACGAGTAAGAAAACGACCACCAATACTAAATGAAGATTCTAAGGCAACAGTAGAAATTGGAATAGCCAAAAAGTCCCTTGCAATCATTTGCAATGTTGGATATTTTAATCCATTTGCCTTCCACCAACCTAAAATGTCAAAAAATTTCTCCGAATCAGACAACATTGGCTCTTCCAAATAATAGTCTAGCTCTGACTTACGATACGTAGTGGCATTGTTATTCTCACTAACATACCTTACAAAATTTGACTTCCAATTTGTCTTTCTTCCACCACCCACTTTCAAAACATTTGTGGCTGAACTTGAAGACAAAGAAGCATGCTCTTTACCCTTGAGTTTCATATCATACTCTCTCACCAAATCTTGACAAATAGATCTAATTTTTTCAATTTTAGAAACAATTTCTTATCCATAAATTTGAGGGGAAAAATAGTCAAGCAAAATCATCTTGTACCTTGGATTTAATACCGTCCCAATAGCCATCACCCCATTTTTGCAATAACATTAGGATTACTACATCAATCAACCAAAGTCAACTTGATTTCACATATCTTTGGAAAATAAATATTTGCAGTTGGAAACAAAGTCCCAGAAAATAATTGAGTTACATCATAAAACACTTCTAACTTTTGACAAATATCACGTGCCATCTTCCAATCTTTTTCACTAACCACAATGCGATATTGACTATCTATTAGCAGCAATCGAGCAAACACATCTTTATAATAAATGGCGGTGTCAAGCATAAAAAATTTAAAATTTCACCTAATTTTGTAATCAACAACAAGTTCTTTACTATAAGGAATGTTCTCTTGCTCACTTATTTCTTTGAACTTCTCCTCTCTTTTAGGTGTTGATATCCAAAAGCTAACACTATCTCTAACTTTTTCAATAGAATCAGAAATTATGGACAACTCATCCTTAACAATTAAATTTAATATGTGGGCACAATATCGCATGTGTAATAACTGACCACCCAAAATAAGAAACATACGAGAAACCTTTTCTAAAATGCGAGCAATCATAGCATCATTTGTCGAACAATTATTAACTGTCAAAGTGCACATCTTACTATCTATATTCTAATCCAACAAGCATTCATGCAATGTTTTAGCAAATACTTCACTAGTATGAGGTGTAGGAACATAGACAAACTTAAAATTTTAAATAGGAATTTAAAAAGAAAAACATAAATATTAATCATCGACATGTAGGATAATAAATGACATTAAAATTAGAGATTACCTAATTAGCTGATTTTGAAAGGTCCAAGAATCATCGATATAATGAGCTGTGACTACCATATAAACCTTATTTTGGTTACTGGCAGTCTACATATCTGTGGTAATAGCAATCTGACTTTGATTCTTTGCAAGTTTCTTCCTTGCCATGTCCTTCTTAACCCTATAAAGTTTCATGATGTCACTCTAGATTGTGTTACGACTAATAACCTTAAACAACGGTTGCAAAGAGGCACAAAGTTTTTAAATCTAACGTGATCAACAATAGAGAGAAGATACTCATGAAGTATTATCATCTTAGCAAGTTTCCTCCTTATCGTGTCTTGATTAAATGCATAAGAACCAACCATAATCGTATCGGCCCCCTTTTTTTCGATTTTCAAAATTGTTTGCCTTGTATCTCGAGTTGTTCTAAGTGGACAAATCTTGAAATGATTCTACAAACGAGAAGTTCCTTATTTTGTATCACCTAACAACTTTCCTTCACAATAATTGCAAACTGCTTTAAATTTTTCATCAATGTTTTGCCTCTTAAAATGATTCCAAACATCTTAAGTGAGTTTCCTTTCATTAGTTGGAGGATAAATTTTAGTTGGAAGAGAACTTTTCGTAGGAAGAGAGCTTTGAGTTTTAGAAAATTTTAACAACTTCGGATTACAATGCCGCAACAAATTAAGCTCTCAACAACTTCAATCCAAGAAAAACAAAACGCACAGAATCTGAAAATTTTAACGATAATAAAATTAGAAGCCGCAAATTACAAAGTTGAAAAACGAAAATAAATCGAACGCGGCACCATCAACACGAATGAAGAAGAAGACTAAAAGAAGAACAGGAAAAGCGCTTACAGATACGAAGTAAAAGAGCAAAGGATATGACGGCAAAAACCCTAGATATTGAAACGAAGAATCGAGATCGAGAGAGAAAGAACGAGCGATACGGAATAAAAGAGTTGCGTGTGGTTGATTTACTTTCATTTAATTTTCATTTAATACGGAATAAAAGATATTTAGCCCTTCGATTTATTTTCATTTAATTTAACAATTATTTATTAAATAAACTTCATTTAAATTCAAAAATACTTGTATAAAGGATAAAAAATGGTTAATCGATCTCTATATGGAATTAGTAACAATTTGACATATTATATGAGTACTATTAAACAAAATTAAATTAAATTTTTAAATAATTAGAAAATATAATTAAATTGGAAATTTTGAAAAAATAATTTCCATTTTTAGATGATGTAGGGATAATTTAGCTACTTTTTTTAATTGATTTTTTATTCATAACAACAAAGAAACATAAAAAATAAAATTATTTCACTTAATCAATTTTTATAAATATTAAATTTTATTAATTCAATTATTAAAATATTTTGTTATAAAATAAATCGTGTCTATAAAAAAACTATATAAATAAAAATTTAATTAAAAACTTATTAGACTATTTTATTTTAGCGCCTAATATATATATTTATAAACTACCAATACAAATAAACGTTAAGTATGTTATGTAATTACGTATGTGGAAGGTTTAATTTTTAAATAATTTAATATGTATAATATATGAACATATTACTTTGTTTAAGATAAAATTTAATATTTTAAAAAAATAATTAAGCAGGGTAACATTATTATTCCTATAATAACTTCATTATTGTCCTTGAAACTAATATTATAGAGATTGAGTTATGAGTGTAACTTCATAAATAAAAATATTTTTATAAGTATTTTTAAACAATATTATTTTTATAAATTATTCTTTATTTTGAACATGTCGAACTATCAATTTTTATATATAATTTATGAGTACAAATACTTAAACAATAGCATTTTTGTGAATTTTTTTAAATAGTGGTACTTTTAGAATTTTTTATATTAAGCATTTTAATTTAATTTTTTTAAAATTAAAATTTATTTATTTACTTATTTAATTTAAGATAATATTTATTAGTACCTGTAGTTCTATTTCTAAGAAAGACTTCCCGATATATTTTTTTCAAACTATAAGAAACAAATATTTATTTTCAAATACATTAATGATTATTTTTTTCATATTTTTATTTATAGTGAGAGTTGTATTATTAAAATATCCACCATTTATCTATGTAAGTTGATATATTTATTCATTTAACACACGAGATATCAATTAATACTATTTCACGTTCACATACAAAATTGAGGGCATTGGAATCAAGTAAAATAAAGACATAACGAACTGTAGTAAATGATATTAGGATTTTAATATGGGTCTAATTTAATAAAGAGAGTGTTTGGATTATAAGTTTAGAGTAAATTATATCTTTCTTGTATAGTTTTTTATTTGTCATTAGCTTAAAAACGTGGACTTAATATATCAACCGTCTCTCCTTTAAGTTCAATTAGTTTTAAGTTAGTTGTTGCTTGCAATTTATTTTAATTTAAACTTGTAACTTGAAAAAAATACGTATATGTATTACTTTAAGGCTTTCTTATATTTTATTTCACATATATCTTTTTTTTTTTTTACCTTTTTTTAGTTTTATTTTTGAATCTGAGTACTAATTCCATACTATAATTTGAATGCTTTGTAGTAAAGTATTTCATTTTTCATTAAAGACTGCATACATAAGACAAATGTGTCAGAGCTTCGTTAACGTCGCTAAAACAAAGTGTATGAACATATACATAACAATAGAGAGTTAATGAACATATAGATGTAGGGTAGATTTACTTTCTTATACCCCACAGTTTCAAAGCTTGCATAGCTGAAACCATCTTCTGGCGTAACATGAATGGTAGACACAGCAGCACCTTCAACAGAATTCATTGAATAACCACATGGGTCGAAATCAAAATCACATATCTGAGAATCTGGAAGAATCTTTCTAATGCCAGAATTGACAGTCATCTGGGCTGCTGAATCAGACTGTTCCTTGAAGAAAACCAATGATTTCTCTCTGTCTAAGCCCGTCATGCACATCTCTAGAGTGTAAACATTGTCGGTTGGAGTCAATGAATCAGCCGAGGCAGAGTAAACATGCCATTTCTGTGCTTTGTCTGAGCCACCCATAATATAAGCCATGCTGCCTGACCCAAGCTTCCCAAAGTAGCCATCAAGGATAGCTACTTCCTCAGAAAAATTCCGATGGGGATATGGCTGAGCACCAGGAAAAATGAAACTTCCCCTCGTGTACCGTACAGATCTAACATTAAGGGAAAGGACCCCAGCTAACTTCAATATGGGTGGGATCGCATGCAGTAACTTGGTAGTGCCACAGGTTTTAATGATGAGTGATATATGCCAAATAGAGCAAGACATGTAAATCTGGTTTCTTGTTGCTTTCCATATTCCCTCGACTCGTGTTTTCCATCACGTCCCCGAACAATTATGTTACCATCTATTTAACTATAATAGATAATTTTTATTTTTTTTTATTTTTATTTTTGATCATTAATTTAAAAACTCAACTTTCCTAAAGGATTTATAATTAGCCAGTGCAATTTCTATAGAAAATAAAATGATAAAACCTTGAATCAAAGTTGTTACTTGTTATCCAAATGTTAAAAATAAATAAATCCAACATGCTGTCATTTGCAGCCGCAATACACATAACCTTATAATATACCTTATAATATACTTTGATAGAATTGCTCAAAGTCAAACAACATAAAACAACACCGAATACTAAAAGAGAAAAATAAAAAGTCAAAGTATCTTGTCTGTATTGTCCCATTGAACAACTCCCTACACCCATTTATGATCTGTTATCGATTAACGTATCACGAATATTCATTCATTGTTTAGGCTCAAATGTACAATGATTAAAAAAAGGTAAACATCGAAAGATGGAAAAACTCAATTGAGATAAAAAAAAAAACAATTGTGATTACTTACAATCGCTACAAAATCTCAACATTGCATAGCATCACGCTAGTTCAAAATACAAAATATGGTGCAAACACCTCGATCTTTACTTGAATAAAATTTGTCAAAGCAAAGTGCAGATAATTATGTCGGGTATCCAAAGAACTATGCAATAATATTCTTATTATCTCTATCTTGGTGCTGCAAATTATCTTCAAACAAGTCCTCTGGAGGGTCGTAGATTATCATATCTGGAAAAATCTCTAAGAAGTCATCTTTTACTTTCTCTCTTAACTCTGGATATGGAATGAGCCCTTTTAATATAACACGAAAAGGCAATGAAAGAGGGGGCTCAGGAGATTGTCTCATTTCTTCATATATGTTCATTGCCTCTGAGGGCAATTCGCAATCTAGAAAAGTTCTAATAATGTCTCCAAATGTATGCTGATCAAACAAAACTCCCTCCACTTTCAAATCTTCCCAAACTCTCTTCGTTTCTTCCACTCTTCGATTTCGTGCAAGCATTATAAGCATATCCCTATAAAAAAACATGTCTGGCCGGTACCATATTTCTTTGCGAACTATATCATACAACTGAGAAATGAAAGTTTTGCCATTAAGTAACCAATGCATATCAAAATATGAGATCTAATAGTGGTTAAATCAAAGTCAACACCAAGAATTCAGTACTAAATGTAATAAAAAGTTAGGTAAAAATTTAGCTTCTCAGAGTCATTTATTTTTATTTTTTTTTCTGGTTCAGTTTTATATTAGATATTTGCTACACATTATGGTTAAACAGGTAATTTTCAGTCACAAACTAAGTAGCATAAAGGTATGAAACAAAGCAATTTGACCAAAAATTGGCATATTGTTGATTTTTTTTTTCCAAATATAGCCCAAAAATAACAAAAAAAATAGTTGGAACCTTCACAATTTCAACAATGAAACAAAGTGTTTACATGTTTACATCTACAGGAATGGTGAGTGTGTCTTCTTCTCATACTTTAGTTTATCACTCTAATCCTAAAATTGACTTGGTAAGAGTTTACAGACTTCAAAAACATTATTTAAAAATCACACATTGGTATCTTTTTTGTTCTGTCAAACGCATACTGGTATCCAAACATAATTTAATAACATCTCCATAACAAAGGCTTTGACCCAAGTATAAAACACCAAGACTTTACATTTTGTTGCTATGACCATGTAGAAATCTAGGTTCATAAACTTACTAATGGAATTGAGAGTTTATCAAATCTGTCAAAGCTTAGAAAAAGAGTTTAAATGTGATTTAACGTACTTGTATGTGGTAGGAGTTAGGAGAGAAGGAAAAGAAAGTTAGTTAAGATAGTTTGTAGTTAATGGAAGGGATAACTCAGTAGAGGGAGTTTGTTAAGTAATAAATCTAATGAAGATGTGAGTGAAGAACATTCAGAAGTGTTATCATTTGTAAATTGAGCATTTGCTATTTGTGAAAGGAGAAATTCTTTGTGAAGGAAAAAGCTTTGGAGGAGAGATCTCTACTATTTTTTGTTTCTTTCCATTCAATTTAATAAGATCTTTTTTTTTTTCATTTATATTCTTTGATTCATTGCAGTGTGATAGAATCATAAACTTATAAGAGTTAACAGAGTTTGAGTCTCTCATTGCTACTTATGTTCTATCTACTATTCCTTCACATCCTACAATCCCTCAAATCGAGTCATGTGTTATCTTTTATTTCCTTTTGATAAATAAGCTATATTGGTTTGAAATTGGTCTTTACTAAAATAAATTTGTTCTGTGGTTATTAGCTTGAAAGCTTGACTGGTAACTAAAGGGTATACTCAACCTACCATCTATCACTCTAAGACTCTCACTGGTGGCTATCCTTGCATTAATTTGCCTTTGTTGTGGCCACTCACTACTGGCTTCATTAGTTGAATGTGAAGAATATCTTCCTTAACAGATGGGGTGATTAAGGTTTGCAAACTTCACAAATTTATATATGGACTAAAACCATAGCGATCAATCTTAGATAGTTCCACATCGTGGATGGTATAAAAAAGTACACTATATACATATAAATGCTCAAAATAAAAAATAAAACAAAATTCATCACATATTCATAAAATTCAATAAAAAGACAGGCCTTAAGCTAAACATACAAATAAATAACAATAGAAGTTAAGGAGACAAACAAAATTCAAAAGACATTCATATTTCAGATACAAGGCATCTTCAACCTTCAATAAAAAGTGAGGGCAAGGGTCGCACAGTAAAAAAAAAAAAAAAATCAAAGATGAGGGTTCAAAGTTCAAAACAGAGGTGATTCAAAGACTTATAGCATCTCATAATAAAATACAACTTTATTCACAAAGCAAGCAAATAGCATATAAATAAAATATCTGCCTCTCCTAATGCTACAACTCCAATTCCCATAGCATAATAAAATCACAAAATAAACAAATGGCCGTACATAAACCAATGGAACTGCTAAATTCACCAAAATCTCAATAAACTAAAAATGCAAGATATAATAATAATAAAACAAAGAATATAACAATAGATTTAATAATTATTAAAATTTTTATTTTATAATCACCTTCATGCAGAGGAAGACTTGGTTCTGACGCTGAAACTCAGCGAGGACAGCCACAAGATCGGACTTTAGCAATCGAAAAACGCTAGACCGGATAAACCAGTCCAACCGAACCGGGTTCGACTGGAGCCTCTTCAGCCCTTTCGCTACCATCAATCCTTCTTTTCCCATCTCCTTCTTCCGCCTCCATATTGAAAGGCTTGGGCTTGACGCTGAATCAGAAACAAACCGAACCCAATTACCCGCGGTTCGGGTTGTCGCTCGTCGCACCGCAAAACGCAGCAGCATTTAGGTGAAGGACCTTTGCCTACATTTTTCATTTCCTTGTTTTTTTAAATGATAAGAGAATTTATTTAAAATTTGATTAATGAAACATTATTTTTAATAAAATAAAAAATAAATAACTACTTTATTTTTAGTAATTGCTTTTAAAATTTAAGGGAAAAAACTCGAATTTGATTGATAATATTTTTAGGATTTTGTGAAGAGTTGAAATTGATTTTGATTGATAATATTTTGCAAATTTTGACATTTTTTTTTTGTCCAAGCAAATTTTGACTATAGGATGGATTGTATTGCAAAGGAGATTGAGTTAGGGCTTTTATAGAAGAAGAAAATTTTTCAAAAATAAAAGACTAAGAAAAATTATTACTTTAGTGTCTTTTTGTTACTTTGCTTCCATTTAGTATCAATGCTTTTGATAATATTCCTTTTAGGGTTGATTTTAAAATTTTATTTTTTTTCATTACTTTAAAGTATTCAATAATGCATTTTTACTAAAAGATATTTTTAATTAGTTGATAAGAAAGCGAGACAGACAGTATATAATATTGGTGACAAAAAATTATGTTAAATAATAAATTGATAGGAGTATATACAAGTTTAGAAAAAGAGCAAAATGAAATGACAAGAGAAAAAAAAATGAATAATGTTTCTAAAAGAAAATTAAGTCATGATATTTGGCTTAAATGAGAAAGAAGAATATGCTAGCTAATTATTAACAACAATGATACACAAAGGGCAAAAAAATGATCATGGAGATTACAAAGTAACACAAAATCAACATAATTATAGGCAACTTTGTTCATCGCATTTAAACCATCTTGCTTATATAATATGTATCGTAGCATAATAAATTAACACATAACACACAATACACGTATAGCATGTGAGTAAATGAGATTGTAAAAGAGACAATTATAACTACAACCACACATTATCATTGTTATATTGAAAAACTTTTAAGAGAATAGTTTATAACGTGTTTACTTTCTTAAAAAATGAAATAAATAATTTATACTGAGTTGACAAATTTATTATACCTTTTCTTTAATAAATGAAAAAACATTATCAAGTAAATAAGAGAAAAATGAAGGTAACTGCGCTTTCAGACATTAAAGGAAGCAACATTTTATGCCATAATATTATAAACCACATGTCTTGCTTTCTCACAATTAATTAAAATTAAAAGATTAACAAAAGTTCTCATAATTAATTTTAAATAATAAATTTTATTAAAATAAAGTATATTAAAATAAGTTGAAAAACCTTATGAAATTATATATTAAAATAATTTATTTCAAAATAAAATCGTTTAAAATAATTTTAAGTATAATATATTAAAATATATTATACTCTCTTTCTTAGCCTCCTTGAAAAAAAAAAAAACTCTAGCTCCAAAAAAATCTAGGGATTTATCATGCACTTTTAATTCACAGTTCCCGTACGCAAGACAAAAATTTGATTTATAGATTCCAAATAATGATGTATAAATTCTCTAACATCAAAAGAGTAAAAATAATTTGCCTCAAGGTTGGTAAAATCGATTGTGGGTGACAGACATGAAAAATAAATGGAAAGTACCTGTATTTACGTTTAAAAAATTATGTTACCTCACTATTTAAATAAAATTAATTATTCTAAACTCACTTTTAAATCAATCCTTTAAACATCAATCTTTTAAAAATAATTTATTTCAAAATAAAATCATTTAAAATAATTTTAAGTAAAATCTAAAACAACGGGCCTAAATTTTCAATAATTCGTACACATCGAAATCAATGAACAATGAAAAAATTTTATAAAAAAATAACAAACTAAAGAAAATAATAAAAAGGTAAAACCAGAATAGCAAAAGAAAAAGATTGAACATACAAGATCAACCAATAAATGTATAACAGGTCCCAGTTATACAGTTCGACAGACATGACAATTATAGAGCAAATACATCCACAAACCGACACATCGAATGGAAATCTTAAATAACAGACGCAAATGATAATCATAAAAAAAAAAAACAACGATCAAAACACAAAAAACAGAAATATAAAGGATCAAAACACAAAAAACAGATATATAAAGAACGGAAACAGAATAATATTTATACCCCATGAACAATAATAAAATAAGCACACAAATCAAATCAAAAGATCAAAACATGTAAAGTAAACCAACAAATAAAAAAGATCATCGAATCCAAAAATTACACAATCATTACAACAAAAATACAGATAAAACGAAGAACGCCATAAAATCAAGGCGGCGAAAACGAAAACAGATACCTGATTTGATAAATTCGGATTACAAATGCCGCAACGAATTAAGCTCTCAACAACTTCAATCCAAGAAAAACAAAACGCAGAGAATCTGAAAATTTTAACGATAATAAAATCAGAAGCCGCAAATTACAAAGTTGAAAAACGAAAATAAATCGAACGCGGCATCATCAACACGAATGAAGAAGACTAAAAGAAGAACAGGAAAAGCGCTTACAGATACGAAGCAAAAGAGCAAAGTATATGACGGCAAAAACCCTAGATATTGAAACGAAGAATCGAGATCGAGAGAGAAAGAACGAGCGATACGGAATAAGAGTTGCGTGTGGTTGATTTACGCTGGTGAAGCTGAATTTATATGGTTGGCGGTGCGTGGGGAAGGGTTTGTTTGCGTTTTTAGGGCCGTCCGTGACTAGTGTGGCGCGATATGCATTTACGGTCTTGCCCTTGCCTAGTTTCCGGGACGTTTCATCATTATTCTAGTGATTGGCGGCTGCTTTTACTATAATATTCTTTCCGGGCTTACGGGTTCGACAGCCGAAAATAATAATATCAAAATTTTACATTATCAATTAATATATCAATAAAAAATACTCATTTCACAATTATTAATTTCAATTTTATATTTTTATATATTTAACTTAACTGATGATATTAAAAATTTTAAATTAGAATTTAATCATAAGTACAAATATTTTTATATTTAATAATTTAAATTTTTTTTGTAGACTTATTTTTAAAATATAATTTTTAAATTTATTTTCCACTTTTCAATTTTCATTTAAAGTATTGTATTTAAATTAATATATTGTATTAAATTTAATATATAATATTTATTAAATATATTTTAATACTGTGTTATTGCATCTAATGAGTCACAATAAAAAAAATCATATTCATTTTTAAATGAAAATGTCTGTAAATTATCTTTAATTTAAATTCATTTTTCAAAATTTAGCATAACATATCTTAATGTCGATATTTTTATATCAACTCTAAACGTATTAGTCCTTCGATTTGTTTTCATTTAATTTAACAATCATTGATTAAATAAATTTCATTTAAATTCAAAAATACTTGTATAAAGGATAAAAAATTGTTAATCGATCTCTATATAGAATTAGTAACAATTTGACATATTATATGAGTACTATTAAACTAAATTAAATTAAATTTTTAAATAATTAGAAAATATAATTAAATTGGAAAATTTGAAAAAATAATTTCCATTTTTAGATGATGTAGGGATAATTTAGCTACTTTTTTTAATTGATTTTTTATTCATAACAACAAAGAAATATAAAAAATAAAATTAATTCACTTAATCAATTTTTATAAATATTAAATTTTATTAATTCAATTATTAAAATATTTTGTTATAAAATAAATCGTGTCTATAAAAAAACTATATAAATAAAAATTTAATTATAAATTTATTAGACTATTTTATTTTAGCGCCTAATATATATTTATAAACTACCAATACAAATAAACGTTAAGTATGTTATGTAATTACGTATGTGGAAGGTTTAATTTTTAAATAATTTAATATGTATAATATATGAACATATTACTTTGTTTAAGATAAAATTTAATATTTTAAAAAAATAATTAAGCAGAGTAACATTAATATTCCTGTAATAACTTCATTATTGTCCTTGAAAGTAATATTATAGAAATTGAGTTATGAGTGTAACTTCTTAAATAAAAATATTTTTATAAGTATTTTTAAACAATATTATTTTTATAAATTATTCTTTATTTTGAACATGTCGAATTATCAATTTTTATATATAATTTATGAGTACAAATACTTAAACAATAGCATTTTTGTGAATTTTTTTAAATAGTGGTACTTTTAGAATTTTTTATATTAAGCATTTTAATTTAATTTTTTTAAAATTAAAATTAATTTATTTACTTATTTAATTTAAGATAATATTTATTAGTACCTGTAGTTCTATTTCTAAGAAAGACTTGCCGATATTTTTTTTTCAAACTATAAGAAACAAATATTTATTTTCAAATACATTAATGATTATTTTTTTCATATTTTTATTTATAGTGAGAGTTGTATTATTAAAATACATTACAGGTTCTTTAGAGCATGTAATGTGGGGTATGCCATGGTAATATGTTTCCACACAACAGGCATAAAAAATAACTAGCCCTATTACACTTCTGGCCTGCATTCAAATTTTGGGCTTTTATTGATTTGGGCTACTTGATGAAACGCTCCCATTCCAGAGTTTCCCTTTTGGTGATTTTTTTGACCGAAAAAACTAAAGAGATTTATTTCTTCGGTGTTACTTTCCTTTCATTTTTTGAAAAAAAAAATAAAGATTTTATTTAGGTCTCATTTGAAATAATTTATTGAAAGCCTATGAAAAAAAATATAACTTCATAAGGTTTTTCAACTTATTTTAATATACTTTATTTTAATAAAATTAAATTATTTAAAATTTACTATGAGAACTTTTGTTAATCTTTTAATTTTAATTAATTGTGAGAAAGCAAGACATGTAGTTTATAATATTATGGAATAAAATGTTACTTCCTTTAATGTTTGAAAGCGCAGTTACCTTCATTTTCCTCTTATTTGCTTGATAATATTTTTTCATTTATTAAAAAAAAGGTATAATAAATTTGCCAACTCAGTATAAATCATGTCACTTTTTAAGGAAGCAAACACGTTATAAACTATCCTCTTAAAAGTTTTTCAATAAAACAATGATAATGTGTGGCTGTGGTTATAATTGTCTCTTTTACAATCTCATTTACCCACCTACTAGACGTGTATTGTATATCATGTGTTAATTTATTATACTGCGATACATATTATATAAGCGATGAACAAAGTTGCCTATAATTATGTTGATTTTGTGTTACTTTGTAATTTCCATGATCATTTTTTTGCCATTTGTGTATCATTGTTGTTAATTAGCTAGCATATTCTTCTTTCTCATTTAAGCCAAATACCACGACTTAATTTTCTTTTAGAAACATTATTCATTTTTTTTTTCTCTTATCATTTCATTTTGCTCCTTTTCTAAACTTGTATATACTCCTATCAATTTATTATTTAGCATAATTCTTTGTCACCAATATTATATATTGTATGTCTCACTTTCTTATCAACTAAATTAAAAAAAAAATGAACATAAATTATTATAGTTAATTTTGAATAATTAAAAATATTTTTTTAGTAAAAATGCAATATTTAATACATAGAAGTAAAGAAAAAAATTAACATTTTAAAATCAACCCTAAAAGGAATAGTAACAAAAGCATTGATACTAAATGGAAGCAAAGTAACAAAAAGACACTGAAGAAATAATTTTTCTTAGTCTTTTTTATTTTCAAAAAAATTTCTTCTTCTATAAAAGCCCAAACTCAATCACCTTTGCAATACAATCCATCGTATAGTCAAAATTTGGTTGGACCAAAAACAAAAAAAAAAAGTCAAAATTTGCAAAATATTATCAATCAAAATCAATTTCAACTCTTCACAGAACCCTAAAAATATTATCAATTAAATTCAAGTTTTTTTCCTTAAATTTTCAAAGCAATTACTAAAAATAAAGTAGTTATTTATTTTTTATTTTATTGAAAACAATGTTCCATTAATCAGATTTTAAATAACAAATTCTCTTATCATTTAAAAAAACAAGGAAATGAAAAATGTAGGTAAAGGTCCTTCACACAAATGTTGTTGCGTCTTGCGGTGCGATGAGCAACGACCTGAATCGCGGGTAATTGGGTCCGGTTCGTTTTCGATTCAGCGTCGAGCCCAAGCCTTTTGATATGGAGGCGGAAGAAGGAGATGGAAAAAGAATGACTGATGGTAGCGAAAGAGCTGAAGAGGCTCCAACCGAACCCAGTTCGGTTGGACCGGTTTATTCGGTCCAGCGTTTCCCGATTGCTAAAGTCTCATGGCTGTCCTCGCTGAGTTTTAGCGACAGAACCAAGTCTTCCTCTTCATGAAGGTGATTATAAAATAAAAATTTCAATAATTATTAAATCTATTGTTATATTCTCTGTTTTATTATTATTATTATATCTTGCATTTTTAGTTTATTGAGATTTTGGTGAATTTAGTAGTTCCATTGGTTTATGTATGATCATTTATTCATTTTTTGATTTTATTATGTTATGGGAATTGGAGTTGTAGCATTAGGAGAGGCAGATATTTTATCTATATGCTATTTGCTTGCTTTGTGAATAAAGTTGTATTTTATTATGAGATGCTATACGCCTTTAAATCACCTCTGTTTTGAACTTTGAACCCTTACTTATGTGTTTTTTTTTTACTGTGCAACCACTGCCCTCACTTTTTATTGAAGGTTGAAGATGCCTTGTATCTGAAATATGGATGTCTTTTGAATTTTGTTTGTCTCCTTGACTTCTATTGTTATTTATTTGTATGTTTAGCTTAAGGCCTATCTTTTTATTGAATTTTATGAATATGTGATGAATTTTGTCTTTTGTTTTTTATTTTGAGCATTTATATGTATATAGTATACTTTTCTATACCATCCACTATGTGGAACTATCTATGATTGATCGCTATGGTTTCAGCCCATATATAAATCTATGAAGTTTGCAAACCTTAATCACCCGTTAAGGAAGACATTCTTCACATCCAACTAATGGAGCCAGCAGTGAGTGGCCACAACAAAGGCAAACTAATGCAAGGATAGCCACCAGTGAGAGTCTTAGAGTGATAGATGGTAGGTTGAGCATACCTTTTAGTTACCAGTCAAGCTTTCAAGCTAATAACCACAGAACAGATTCATTTTATCAAAGACCCGTCTCAAACCAATATAACTTATTTATCAACAAGAAATAAAAGATAACACATGACTCGATTTAAGGGATTGTAGGATGTGAAGGAATAGTAGATAGAACATAAGTAGCAATGAAAGATTGGTTGTTAAACTCTTAGGTTAACTCTTGAAGTGTTACAAGTTTATGATTCTAGCACTTTGCAATGAATCAAAGAATATAAATGGAAAAGAAAAGAAAGATCTTATTGAATTAAATGGAAAGAACAGAAAATAGTAGAGAGATCTCTCCTCCAAGGCTTTTTTCTTCACAAAGAATTTTACCTTTCACAAATAGCAAATGCTCAATTTACAAATGATAACACTTCTGAATGTTCTTCACTCACATCTTCATTATATTTATTTACTTCACAAACTCTCTATACTAAATTATCCCTCCCACTAACTACAAACTATCTTAACTAACTTTCCCTTCCCTCTCTCCTAACTCCTACCACATACAAGTACGTTAAATCACATTTAAACTCTTTTTGCTAAGCTTTG